AAATGTTTTCTTAGCTAAAGTAGTAGGTGGAATTAATTAAAAAACTTAAATAATAAAAAAAAGTTTAAATACCTTTTTGGTTGTTCACTTAGACTGGGTCCTATATTTTCATTATCAACTTCAGTGATAGTAGAAAGAGTTCTCTGAAAAAGTATTTCTTCCTTACCCTGATTGGGTGTAAATGCACTAGGAGAATTAGGGTCAACTTTTTCATGTTGTTGAAGATTTTTGTTTGATAATTCAATGAGCACTGGGTTTACTCTTTTATCCCTGATTTTCCTTGATGGCTGCATTGCCCATTGTCTTGAGGTCATATACATTCTCCTTCTTGAATATTGAGGTGAATTACTAAGATTTCTTTCACGGAACTTGGCACGTAAGAATGTATCAGATATGTCTGAGATTGACGATGCTTTATGACCTTCAGAATTCATATTTGTTGAGTTGACATTGCAATTGTTGTAATTAGAATCAGTGAAATCCTCAGATATATTGTTCCTCTGGTAAGAATAAGATTCCACTGGATCACATGAACTGGGCCGGTGTTGTCTTAGTCGATTTCCATTACAGGCTGATGATTCACTTTCAGAAGTTATACTTTTTCTCGCAATAACATCATCTATTGCTTTCCATTTTGGGGGATTTGCTCTACTCCAACCTTTATTTTGTATACTATAGTAAATGGGTGGTTGTTCATGTGAGGGAGGACATTTTTCAAATGTTTCAATATCTTTGCTGCAAACTTGTGGTTGTTGTTCAGGATGAAATTCTGGTTTTTGGTTGAGCATATTATTTCTGTCTACTCTATTGTTACAATGAACCTTTATTTTAGAAATCTGTAGGCCTGTGTTTTCACAATTATTATTTTGTACACGTTTTAAACCACGCACAAGTCTTTCACAATTTTCTCTTTGTTTTAATTGTTCACAATATTCTCTTTTTTTTAGTTGTTCACAATTTTCTCTTTGTGTTAATTGTTCACAATATTCTCTTTTTTTTAGTTGTTCACAATATTCTCTTTTTTTTAGTTGTTCACAATTTTCCCTTAGTTTTAATTGTTCACAATATTCTCTTTGTTTTAGTTGTTCACAATTTTCTCTTTGTTTTAATTGTTCCCAATATTCTCTTTGTTTTAGTTGTTCACAATTTTCTCTTTGTTTTAATTGTTCACAATATTCTCTTTTTTTTAATTGTTCACAATTTTCTCTTTTTTCAAATAATTGTTGACAATTTTCTCTTTTTTTAAATTGTTCACAATTTTCTCTTTTTTCAAATAATTGTTCACAATTTTCTCTTTTTTCAAATAATTGTTCACAATTTTCTCTTTTTTTTAATTGTTCACAATTTTCTCTTTTTTCAAATAATTGTTCACAATTTTCCCTTTTTTTAAATTGTTCACAATTTTCTCTGTTATCAAGTTGTTCACAATTTTCATTTTTGGCTGAATATTCACTGTTTCCACTTTTTGAACTGGTTTCACTCTTTTCACAATTTTCACCCTTTCCTTCAAATTTTTGTTTAAAAAATCCAAAATATCTTGAATACAATGAAGACTCACATGAATTTCTAGGACTATTTTCAAAAGAGATTCTTCTCGAAGTTTCTGTTTTTCTGTAGCATTCCTCATCATTTAGCAACTTTTTTGGTCTAAGATTCTTGGAACTTTGGGCCTCCTGATTAGACATGGGTGGGCATGCTGTTATTTTCACTTCTACACATTCTTTTCGTGCAGGCTGTGTAGAAAACATGGAAAAAAACCCTTGTTTACTTTTAGGTTTGCTCTGAATTTGTTCCTGCATAAAATCTGGTTTTACGTCGATGCTTTGATCATTTTTACTAAATTCATCATTTTGGCAATTGTCATCCTGTTTTGTCTCAAGGTTATACTCTGTTTCCAATTCTATTGAATCACTTCGATTTAATTTTCCAGTTTTTGTAACTGCATAACATGGATCATTTTGCGAAAGAGCTTGTTCACTATTCTCTCCGTGGTCAATTACCTGCTTAGGCAATTCAAAATCGAATCTACCTTTACCACTGTTAGATGTATTATTACTTTGCCGTTGATCATTATTTGCATTGATATCATACCCTAATTGTTGTTTGTCTGGACTAGGTTCCCAGCATTCTTTTATTGGCTGTAACTGTTGCATGTGTTGGGGTTGAGTCTGATATTGCTGCCGCAATAGATTATGCGGAAAATGTTCCTGTATTTTTTGTTGTCCCATTTGTCGTTCTCGCATTTGCTGGCTATATATTTGCTGCTTTTGCATTTGTTGTAGTTGCTGGTGTATTAACTGCTGCTGTAATTGCTGCTGTTGTAATTCCAGTAGTTGCTGTTGTATTTGCTCTTGTTGTTTTTGTTGCTGTAGTTTCTGCTCTAGTAGTGCTTTCTGTTGTTGAATTAGTTCTTGTTGTTGATATTCTAATTGTTTTGCTTTAAATGCCAAATCATCATAACTTGCTAACAGTGAAGTTTTGTTTGTTTGGTCTGTTACTATACATTTATTATACTCGTCTTTTGATTCTTGTTCCAACATTTGACTGAAATTGCTTTTAGGTGCACAGCTGCAGCTAAGAAAACCATTTTGGGTAAACATTTTCATTTTTTCTGGACTCTCACTACATTTGGGATTGGGACTGTAGTTACACATACTAACTGGCCTTTGACATTCACTGCTCTGGAGTGTATCAGATTTACACAAACTTGATTTTAACAACTTTTCATCCAATTTATCATTAACTTTTGGAAGTGTTGTTTCCTGATTTAGGAAATAGTACACATCAGAAGTACCCTTTGGAGCATTTTGAGGGTTAGGTGATTTCTTTCTCTCTGGAACTCTTTTAGTCGAGCATCCACACTTTAGACATTTTTGAAATATTGTGGGAGGGTGATCACTTTCTTCATATTTACATGGCTTGGGATCAGTGGCTGTTTCAGGTTTATTTTGCTTTGTTTCATTAGCAAATTTTGCATTTTCATTCAATTGCTTTTCTACCTCTTTATGTACTATTGCTTCAACAGATTCCGCACGTAAACATTTTTTACCTGAATGTGGAGGCATTAAATGATTATCATTCATATCTTTGTTTGGAAGCATCAAAGGATCTTTGCCAGGATTTAACTTTTCAGTTAGGCAATTCATTAACTTGTCTTTTAATACCCCTTCACTAGCACATTCTTTTATTATAGCGTCAATTATTTTTTTTAGTTGTTCATTTGATGAACAATTACAGTAGTTCTTTCTCATTTCACTTACTTCTTGTTGCGATCTGGAATTACAAATCTTCAACTGGCTCGTGTGCTGTTGCTTCCAACTATTTTGCTGAGTTGTATAATGTGGCCGATCAGAACTACTACTACAAACTTTACCCAAAGTACGAGGTTGACCCTTAAATCTACTATGTTTATTTTGACTGTGGTTTGAACAAAAGCAGTTTGCATGTTTTTCTTGTAGCTCTGATCTACACTCAATCGCATTACTCTTGGTTCCTATTGAGATGTCTGGTGCAAAATCTTTAAAAGAATATAAATTTCCTCCACAAATGCAATGTGGTTGTTCAAGATGATGTTCCTTTCCTTGCTCAACATTGTCCGATTGACTAATTGTTGGGTTCGTTGAATCAGGATCATTATGTTTTCCTTCTTTACTGCCTTTACCACCTTTACCACCTTTACTGCCTTTATGTTCAGAGCCTCCATCTTCTTTATCTTCATTTTTATCTTTACTTTCACTACCTACTGTATCTAAGAATGCTGAAAGTTTTGAGTGGAAATCTCCATATTTCTGGTCAAACTCTTGGAAACATTTTTCATGAGTTATACGTGCTTTTTTTGTAGTACCACATCCACAGCATTTGTCTGTTCCTTTTCTACAATTTTTATTATTGCACTTCCCACATGGTGCTTGCTGCACACTATATGCTAATTTTTCAATAATTTTTTTTAATAAAAGGGTTGAAGTCTGGCAACAATTTTTCTGATTATCAATCAAAGTTCCTTGGGTCTGGCTTTGGTTTAAATGCAGTGTGAGTAGATAAATAAAAAATGGTGTTACGTCAACTGTCTTGCAGTCAAACTTAGTTAATCGTTTAACCTTCTTTTTTTCTCTCAATTCTGTTTTTGCCTGCCCGCCGATGAGATTGCTTGGAGGGCAATGGCATGTTTTCTTTCCTACATTTGTTTTAGAATCATCCTCTAATTTATCATTCTGTTCACTTTTCTGGTCCATAATCTTAAAGCACCTTGATTACTGTTTGAATGTCAATGAGTATGGATATTAATGTTTTTAGTACTGTAATCCATCAAAGTTGATCATATTTTATTTTAATTGAGTATCAAAATGGTGGATTACACCATAGAAGATTACGATCAGATGTGATATTAATTCTAGATTAACAACTTAATATCCAATGTGAAATAGTATACTAGGATTCAACTATGTTGGACACTTTAATAATACCTTACCCAACTCTTCTTGATACTAGTTGTTTTTGTGTTGTTTGACATGTAGTGTAATTAACAATAAACAGTAGACAAAATTGTGCTTTTATTTAAATAACAGCTGAATTGATTTAATTTCAGACAATAACCATTTATTTTCTTATTGTTAAATCAGATAAGATTATTTATGGCACGTGCGCCCTGTTTGAGGTTGAAAATTAAAAAGTAATTCAAGATGATTTTCATCTAAAGAAAAAAGTTAATCGCATGAAATGGTTAATGAAACCAAATTTGTTCGTTACTGATAACTTATAATTTATTATTATTATTCACAATATAAAATCCAAACTTATCAACCAAGGCACTATCAAACAAAGTTAATACATGCACCCCACACCTATAAAAAAAACAACTTGAATTTGTAGAATGTCACAGACTCACTGAAGATGATGGAATGCTGAAACTTGTGACTGACCAAAATGATCAGTAAAGACAGAATTTCAATTCTACAAAAATTCCAATACATTTAAAAAAGTTTGTTGTTTCATTTGTTTTCTTCAATGATAACAACATTCAGTCATAAAAATACTTTTAATTATACATTTTTCCTGTTTTTTTTTAAATTAGTCACACAAAGTAGTAATTGTTAGTAATTTGATTCCAAGAGGGAGCTACACGAACTGCAATGAGAGCAATCACTTTCCCCTTCATCAGAACTTTCTTCTTTTATAAATGCGCATCTGTAAATATATTGGGGTAAANATATTTTTTTATTTATTGTTGTGAAGATCCCCAGAAGGGAATCTTAAACGGGGTTGTAAAAATTTAAGTTTGTTATAAATATTAAAAATTAGACATAGAAATAGGTTAGCTAATTGTTGGGAAAGCATATTGTGCCGGGGTGAGTAATCGGAGGTGGCTTGGAATCACGGGAGCCGACCCAGTCCTTCTTGGGAACTCCAGCGCAGCTAAAAAAAAAGAAAAAAGCTGACAAAATAATGACAGTTGGACGTTTTCAATTGAGAAATGTGGGTCGATCCCGGGGCAACCACCCTAGAATAATTGGCTGTTGTGCTGACGAGTGGCCTTATTGCTCAACCCTCAGGATTAGCTGATGCCCGGACTCATCTGAAATAGCTCAATGACCTGGAGAGGACAAAGAGCAGTCGGGTCACCCGGAAGCATAGCAGTATTTTCGAAATGCAACTGTTCCCCACTCCTCCCTGAACGGATTGATATAAAAAGGACAATCAGAGAATCCGGGTAGAGTCCGAAGAGAGTCCGAGGAGAGAATCCGGGTGGAGTCCGAAGAGAGTCCGAGGAGAGAATCCGGGTGGAGTCCGAAGAGAGAATCCGGGTGGAATCCGAAGAGAGTCCGCAATTGAGTCAGTCGGAGTGTCCCGTGGAGACGACGAGTGAGTCTGTCAAACGGAGTCAAAAGGGGAACTGGTGCGGCAGATTAGTCAGTGTAGTTCGCAGGATCTGTACCACCGAACTGACGAAAAAGATGCACGTATTCCAGTCCTGTGAGAATAATTTTTGTCAATTGGTTTGCGGGAGATTTGGAGAACAGTTGGGCGATTTCGGGCTACTTTTAGTACTATGATCCCAATAATTAAACCCCTAGTATTAAGGTTTTGTTATAGAGAGTAAGAGCATTAGTTCTATTTATAATTAGTCTTCCAGTAATAAGTTTTGTATATGAATTGTTTAATAGGAAATAAGGGTTGCTATTTATAAGAAGGGTTAGGGCGTTATTCACTCGTTAATTATGCATATTGTGAATTGTATAGTCATATCAAATAAAGGAACCTGGTGTTTTGTCTGAATTGGTGTATCTTTCCCCCAAACCTCCTTGTCCAGAGTTAGTAGTAAGTAAATAAAGGGTGTTCAAGCCGGGGGGGGCAACGTGACAAATCTACCCCGAAAAGGCTTGACGGGCCTAGAGTGGAGTAGCTCGCTACCCTCTCGGAGCACCCTAGCGAGAGAGGGTGTTCGAACGAGCCGCGAGCCACGCTTGGGGAAAAAGGGAAACCGCTCGTCACAATTGTTTTTACGAGTGTTCACAAAAGCAGAGGTCATATCAACTCTCATGGTGTTTTTGAAAAAAGCTCATTTGTGAGTGTGTTAGGTTCGAATGCAGGGCTGCTGGATTTAAACCCAGGACCTATTAGTGATGAGCATTAACAGTTGTAGGCTCTGACACTCCCCTTGTCTCATAATCAATACTGTTAAATATTATAATGGCACATTAAAAATCCGTAAAATGGACAATTTAGAACAAATTAAAAAAAAAAAAAAAAAAATCAGTTTCTTTCGAGGAATAGATCCTCTTCAATAGGATGTTGAAATTATTATTAATAAATTTTATGGGTAACAAATATGAACATCTATTTACAACAGTTCATAAGTTTCAACATTGTGAGTAAATATTCATATTTATATTAATAATAATTTCCATATGTCAATGAAGGGGGTGTATTCCTCAAAAGCTTGATGAAGGAACAGAGTTTTCTTCCAATTTATCCCTGATTTTTAATATAAACTTTTAAGTATTAATTTACTATGTAAATAAGGATTGGCTTAATAAATAAATTGACTTAGGTACAATGCAGTCACCTTGGTTTTCTGTTTTGGTTTCTAATAAGTTCTGATTCATTCAGCCCATTGGTAATATCACATCCTCTGCAGCGTTGCTTTGATAACTTTTGCATTTGATGTATCTTTGCTAATATCTCAGATTGCATTTTGTGGTGATATGGAATATGGCATTGGGCTAGATATGTCGGTAATTGGTTGGGTGTGCTGAACAATACATCATCTCTTGCAAATAAGTTGCTAGCACAGTTGCAAGGTTTGTATTTATTTTGCAAATTGTCACTTGTGGGTTGAGTCTTATTCAGCATCTGGAGCATTGTTTCAAGTTCTTTATGACAGTGATTGCAAATTGTACAATCGTCATTCTCCATTTGATTGTTATTATTGTAATCACTCTTATCATTTTTTTCAATATTGACATTGCCTTTGTTGATTAAGTTTTGAGTGTTCATTTTCCATTTTTGAAGATCACTGACAAATGTATTATTGGCACTCCTAATATTATTCAAAACATACGGAATTTTCAAACAGGATTCTAGGAGCTGCGTTAAAAATGGAGTAAAATCCACTGCTTGTGTACGAATTGATGGCTGAAAGTAATTACCAGCACAATCTTTATTATCTGCAGTCTGCGATCTTTTTCTATTTGTTTCTGTGATCACGTTCATTGACTTTACATTGCTACTGAAATTTGAGTTCTGTGATTTAGTTGGATATCTTGATAAATTAGGTTCTTGGATGATTTCAAATTCATTTTTAAGTGAGTTTCTAAACCTTCTTTGTTCACAAAGTTCATTGTTTGAAGTACACGATTTTCTCTCACTAATGAGTGCCATAGGACTTGGGTATGAAATTTTGTCAGACTCTTTTTGAGGAACTGAGATATTGTTTCTTTTGTCATATCTTGCATCCTCCTCACATTTTTTGGAATAACTTGATATTGGTGGTTGTAATAATGGTGGTAATATTTTTATAATTCCCTCATCATCTTCTTTTATACCTGTAAAACTGGTATGACGTTCAGCTTTACTTGGCATTCCATCAGTTAATTTTTTTCTGTGATGAGGGCTTTTATAATTATTATTTCTATCTTTTCTATCATTGCTTTGTAGATTTGTGTTTGCCATCAATACTGGTGCATCTAATGTTCCTCCTACAAATTGATTTAATGCTTTACCCAAATTTGCACAAACTGAAGTTTTCCTTGTGTTCCGAGGAGTGTTGACAAAAGAAAGATGTTCATCTTCATTTTCACAATCAATTTTGGGTTTTTCGTTATATTGGTGAGTTTTGCTGCCAACAGCTTGCCTTTTATTGGGTGTGTTTGTACTTTTTGTTGCATAGTATGCCTTACTCATTCCCCTTTCAGTATGAGTTTGCTTTGGTTTTTCTTGTGTAGCATTTAATGCAGTATTTGAAAGTTTTTTATTTACATATTCTTTGAAAGAATTCTCATTATTTGTCCTATATTTCTTACAATGGTTACATACATGAACATTTGTTGGCCCTTCTGTATTAGTACCTGCGGAATGCAATTTTTTCAAATATTTATGTTTGTTGGAATTATTTTGAGTTTCCCATTGTTCGAATTTTCCACAGCCTGGAATGAAATTATGTTTTGTAGCTGGGAATTCAATTCTTGCATAATCTGTACTTATATTGGTTTTGTTTGATGGTTGTTGTGGATTTAATAATTTCCTCTTATCTGAGGTATCAGCTTTATCTGGTAAAGCTGAAGAATAATCACTGGATTCCTCTTCCTCGATGATGTAAGCTATTTCACCTGACCAACTCCTTAACATCTTTCTCCTGATCCTCTTACCAGCCAATGACTCGGTTGATTGAATATCCTCATCCATTGTAACACTAAAATTGTTTATATGAAAAAGTGATAGTTATCGTTTTTCAGTATTATTCTAATAATTATAGCATTTTTAAAATAAGTACATTGCAACATTCATAACATACTATTTATTTTTTTATGTTATTTCACATTAGCTGCTGAACCATATAACTTCTTCTTTCTGCAGTACGTTTAGGAACACAGGTTGCTGATTCTGCTGATCTTTGTGGAATGCTGATATTTGAAGAACTGGGTTTCTTGCAACAATTTCGTTTCTTGAAGAATTCCCAATACAATTAGCATAATCAAAAGAATTGTGTTCTTTAGCTATTGTAATATCTTCATTAAAATTTACCAGCGATTTGGCACAGTCTGAATTAAATGTGTCATTTACAACAATTTCTGATATTCCAAATTCATCATTGCATGTCTCTTTCATAGACCCTGGATATGTAAAAATGCATTGTTTCTGTTCACAGTCTGTAGTAACAATCGGTTCAGATTGGTCGGGACAAAAATTATCACAAAACTTTTCTTCTACTTTATTAGCAAAACATAAACCTTTTTCACTAGTGTTCTTTTCTGCAGAGCTGATGTTCAAAATACATGAGTATGAACAATTAGGGCATTTAAACGGTGAAACAAACGTAGATTTGGGTTTCACTGTAATTGGTGTAACTGTACATTGTGCATTCTGAGAACTTGGAGAAACGTTCTTGACTGAATTTATACCATATAGTTTTTGTGGTTTACTACTGCAACATTCTTGTTCTTCTTGCGTTTCAAAAATGTGTATATTCTTGGAGGAAATTTCTTGAGGCAGTTCTGAGTGATGTCTGTGCTGTGTAAGTATTTGATCATGTGTGCATGCATTACTTCTTAAATTTTGATACTTGACACAATTAGGCACATGTGTTTTTTGTATGCAATTTTGCTTATTTAAGGTGTTGCAGCTATGTTGGCTATGCTGGCACTTGTTGATGTTTGTGCGTGGTGACTCAGACACACATTTCATACAAGAACAATGTTTTATGTTTTCAATGGAGCACTTTGTTTTGCCACTATTTATCTGTTCCAAATGAAAATCTATGTTCATACATTGCTCACAATCATTAGATTCATTATACTTTTCCTTAGCATACAAATGCTGGTTGCTACAGCTGTCAAACTGATTACAGCTGTTTACTTCTTTTTCCGTAGCACATGTACAGTTTCTGTATGAAGGTTGCGGGTATTTCGTAGCTTTGGGGATGCAACAACTGTGACCCCTGTTATGACTATTACTGTGTCTTTGTGGAAAATGCACTTCTCTTCTACAATTGCTACATTTTGGGGTCTCTGGATAATGATGGTGATGATAATTTGATCCTACATTCTCGTCATAGGGTGGCCAAGGGGTAGGCACAGGTAAACCACTTATATGCGGTGCCTGTGGATGGATATGTTGCCCAGGTGGATAGTTCATAGGTACATGTCTGTTTCCAAGTGAAATAATGGCAGGTTGATTATTAAACTTACTGTAAGGCTGTTGTAGGTATGCAGGATTGCTGGGTTTCAAATTCAAACTGTAACCCAAATCATGAGCTCTTCTTATTCTCTGAGCGTCTTTGTTAGGCTTTAGGTAATTTTTCAACTTCCTACTCCCTCCTTCTGTTTGGCATCCAAATATCATTTTTATTTCTTTACCATCTTAAAATTGCCATTTAATAAAAAAAATTTGGTTCTTAACTCTATTGATATTGGTTTTTAGTAATAAAATAAAAACAATAAATATGAACATGTGTATTACAAGTTTAATAGTATGTAATTATACATTAATCTAATTTTTTTAAATGTAAGACTAAGAATTTATTAATTAAAAATGTATAAACTGAAAACTTTGTGTTCTTTATTCTCTTACGTTTACATTTAAATTTAATGCAATGTTTCCACTATATAAAAGGCATTTTTTTTATTAACCTCTTGAAAGAAGCTTAGATTCCACAAGGAGGCAGAGATGCAGCAGGAATCTAAGGAAATGATTTAAAAAGAAGTAAATAAAGTATGAATAAAGGCATTGTATTCATAGTAGTTTCAACCAACTATGACTTTTCAAAAACTTTATCCTGGAAAATGTATCTCAACTTCAATAGTCGGAAAGCATGCCTAACAAAGTAACCAAAGTGCACTTTGGAAATATCAAATTATTAAAGACAAGCAGTGTACAAACAAAGCTATTTCTGTAACACAGGAGGGCTTAATAACATCAACTACAGAAATTGGGTGCCATGGATGGGGGGTCAAACCACTATATATATATANTCATATTTATAATATATTTATATAAATTATATAAATTTTAATTGATAATTGAATAAAGTTAATTATTTGGGAACCCAGAATCACTAACATGGCAAATATAGTTAGATGCCTTAACACCACTCAACTACCAAAGTCCCCTAGTGTAAAACCGCGGTAAATCTAATTAGGTTACCTTTAGCACTAATTAATGCCTGGGAATGTTTAACACATTTCCATCATTTGTACAAAATAAATAATTTTAACATCAGTGCCTGGATCTGTGAAGCTTTCCCTTGGACTCTACTCGCATGAGTCAGAAACAATACCTAAAAGAATGTGCAATGTGACAGGAAAAAGTTGAAATTTCTTAAGAAAAGTGCACTTGTGCAGTGCACAAGACAAATAGTTATGTCTACAGCACTTCTAGATAGGCGAAGGGATCAATAAGTATAAATTTCAAATGTTACCTCTTAAAAGTACAAAGGGCAATATTTTATGTTTTATACTTTGTAAACATAAAAAATTTATGGTTAGGGATGGTTAGGGAGATTTAGTGTGTTAATATTGTTAAAATCAAAGTAAATAATTATTATCACGTATTTAATGATGAAAATAGTTTATATATAAACTTAACTCAAGTATATTATCCGTCAAGGATGTATTCAGTTGAAGCTACCATAAACCATTGGTTGAAAATTCTGAGTCAACGCTGAATTGTGACCATCAATCATAGGTCGATTACATCCATGGCAAAAGTCCTGATTCTCAGGGTAATAATTTGGGGGGTATAAGCCATGTGGAATTGTCACGAATGATGGTTCCAAATTTTCTGTTATTTCATCCAGTATTGAAGCCTTTATTTGGAATCGTAAGCTATCTTCTCTCTCCCAAAAGTTTTTTTTAAATGCTACATATTTTCTTTTTATACAAACGATCGGGAAAAAAATGTACTTAAGTTTTTTTAAAGTATGTAAAATTGATTTGTGTTTAATTGCCAGACTAGGCTGAATCTTACTTGGGGTTGATGAGAAAAGTTGGTTTACATTTTCTCTCTCACAGTTTGTATAGGATGGTGATTCAGGATTGTCGCATTGACTTCCTTGTGTTGGATTTTCTTGATATGCCGGGTTTCTTGTTGAATGTGGCAGCTTACTTTTACGATAGGTCACCGGATTCTTGTGAACAGCGCCTCTATAACTGGCAGGAAGCTCTTTTGAATTCAGACCGTATTCCACTGTCAAGTTATTATTTTGCATGTGTTCTCCCCCATAATGGTTATATGCATTGTATAAATTTGCTTGTAATGATGATTGTGTTGTATTATTCGCATCAAAATTAGTTAGAGTTCCACATGATTTTTGTTGAGGTTTTACATATACTCTAGTGCAGGCACTTAACCTATTACAACTCATGCCTAGTTACTGTCCATCACCATTCCAAAGAAATACTCTAAAACAACTTAACTAATTTCAAGTAAACATTAATAACAAATCAAAAACATATGATGAGCTCATGAACAATTTTATGCATTTTTAACATTTATAAAATCAATCATGATTTTTATTTTATTTTTCAATTGATTAATGTTGATTTATAATTGAAGATTGTTTTATTGGCATTAAGGACAACTCTGACAACCCTGCAAAGTAGAAGAAGTGTATTAATCTGTAGATGAGACTGTAGCTTTTTTCAGGCATTACATATTTGGATTCAGAACTGTATAATTGAAAGTGAAAATAAGCAAGAAGCATGAATTGGAAGTGAGAGCAGGCTAAGAAAGAGTAGATGAAACATGAACATAAAGTTCTGAATTGGATAATGTTTGCTATTACAAAAGCATTTTTCTTATAGAACTGATAGAATTATTGAAATTTCTCTACTAATGAAGAAAAGGCAATCTTGGTTTAATGTGGAAGAAGGAACATAACTCCAATACAGAGATGCACAAATATTTATGAAAACAAAGTTTTATGAATTGCTATTATAAGTCTTGTGACTACTGAAGTGTAGTGCTTTTTAATTAATTGTTACATTCTTGTGATCCATATAAAAATTCAAACTGCAAAAAAAGAAGTTGGAACGTGTATCACCACTAAACATATTTGCAATTGCATTTGGTCTAAATCTTGGAATTTGTGAGTATTTACATTTTTTATTGAAAATTAACAGCTGTTAATAGTTTAAAAAAAGTTTTTGATAAATTTTCAAATATTTTAATGTAGAAAATATTACTTTTCATATTACAGTAGGATTTAAAAAATAAATTTATTTGTAAAAGTAGCATTCGAAATTTGGCAAAACAATTATTCTATTTACAATGATGATTAAAAGTATAAAAATATAATTTTGGAATCTTATTTACAAATTTATTTATACTTTTTTCTATCATAAACAATTGGTTAGAAAGAACTGACTTTTTCTGTGGCATTATTTAGTGTAACAAGGACATTTCTGGCTCAACAGCTCAAACAAATAGCAATCGTAAAGTAACTTAAATATTTACTTATTTTTGTGTAAAAACTATACACATATTGAAAATAATTGTAGTATGATCCAACCAATTGGTTTTTATCCAACCCTTCTAAATATCATATTTCACACGATTGAACATCTTCCAATATTAGAAACAAATGCTTAGCGTAATTAATAGCAGTTTGAGTGGTCAGTGGTCATCTTTGTGATAGAATCCATTTATTAGATCAAGTATTTTGATGTTTATGCTTTTTTCGTGATTCCTGGTTTTATTTAACAATTTTTAAGACATCTTTAGTATTTTTGTTAAAAATATTAGTGTTTCTTTTCTTACTTAAAACTATGAACATATCTTTTTAAGGTGTACTTAATGTTAGTCTGCAATGCATAGTGTTGATAGAATAGTTTAATTGCCAAAAATATCAAGTGACAGCAGGTAAAAGAAAGGGTGGGACAATGAAAAGAACATTCTCACCAATTACAATTAATTAAGGTTTTTAGTTGAGATGAAAAAAAGTTAGTGGGGTTGAGATAGGATGTCCGAGTGGATCGAGGTCACGATAGCTCAAGTGGTAGAGCAGCGGCGTATCTAGCCGAAGATCGTGGGTTCGAATCCCGCTTGTGCCATTAACTTTTTTTCATCTCAACTAAAAACCTTAATTAATTATAATGTATTAATTGGTCAAGCGGACCACGAAATTAGTGAATTGAATGGAATGAATTGAATTCTCACCAATCTTTCAAATCTCAAACATTTGCATGAATTGTTTTTGTCAAATAAAACAATCAACCTTGGCAATGTTTTGTGTTCAATAATAACTTGTAGTTATCATTTTTAATTTCATACACAATGTAAAGCTATGCAAATGTAAAGCTTAGTGGTGACTGTGTAAAAGGTGGACTTGGTGAAGTTTGGTTGCCCCCAATCATCGTGGCCTTCCTAATTTTGCAGGTTTTTGTATGTAACTGGTAGATAAAACTAGTGTTACTGGATGATGAGACTACATTTTTACTACTTAATTTACTAGGTTTAGATTTTGTATCAGAAGTAATTTCGAATAATATATTTTCTTTAGAGGAGACTTTTTCACAAGTTTGTTATTTGGTCCAAATTTTTACACAATTCAGAATATATTATTAGTATGGGCCTTGTGACCTTTGAATTGATCAATTTTCCTATGCAGGAACTGCTGAATCATGCAGCCAAGGGCAGAGTTGAAAAAGTGTTGTGATCAGGTTGATCAGATATGATGTATGTTTAGGGATTGAGATAAACAGTTTCTTCACTCTTCATCTTGTTCATTATTCAGGTTTATAAATCAAAAACTTTACAGTTACAAAGCATTTGTTTAACTTTTGAAACTTTACAATTTAGGGGACAAATTATACTGAAATAATATTAAAAATGTTTTTTTTTAATAACCTTGGTCTAAATTAAACTACCTAAAGTTTATTTGTTGACGTCACTGTACTTGTTTAGATGAAACCATTGTATGCAGAACTTAAGAAAATATCAAACAAAAACATTGTTTTGTGTTTGTTATTAAATCCCGGTGCTCAAGAAAATTTTTGACACACTGATATTTGATAAAAATTATTTAATCAAGTAGTTGATAAAATGCCAAGATGGAACCCTCATAAATATATGTACTTTTTCTTTCCTGCATTTAAATATGAGTGATACATGTATGTACTCAATATAATAAGTATACATTAATTTTGTATGGATTATATTTTGCAATTTTTCAACTTCTTGGTATAGCTCTTGTTTTTATAGTGGTCAAGAAACATGACTAGATTCGGCTATAGCCTCTTCTTTGAGTGGCTGTTTGACCAATGGGCCTTCAAACATCAGTTTATTTTTCTCAAGCAAGGTTTTACGGTTTGCAATTTTAAAGATGTTGTCAGGCTTAACTTGTTTTGGCTTGTTCAACTGATCTTGCTTGGCAGTGTAAAGCCATTCCTGCACCTTGTGCTGCTTTAATTCTTTACTTATGTTTGGCGTATCTGAGAAGGTCACTGTAGGTTTATACGCTCTATCCATATGGCTTTTGCTCAAATCAGGCTTACTCCTTCTTGAAAATTGTTCTAATTTTAAAAATGTATTTTTTAATTCTTGAATTTTAGTCCTTCCAGCATTTTCTATAGAAAAAATAAAAATAAATAAATAAAAATAAAACTTGAATGTCAGTAATAAATAATGAGTTTTTGTTGTAACAATTGTTGAATAAGGTGTATAAAGTAAAATTAACAGTAATGTAAATTCTGTTATATAAAAAGCATTTATCTCTCTGGGATAGTTTGTGGCCTAAATCATACTACATTTTAGTATATTATATTAAAATCTTTATAAAATAATAAACAGCCTACACATAATGTACTAATGACTGTAGTGCCCTAACAATATTAACCAAAGAAATAATTAATTTAGAACTGTGTGGCCGTTTCAGCTGGCAAATGTAGGTGATGAAACATGCAAGCAATTTGAGCAAAATTTAGCGTAGAATGAGTACTGTGATTTTTTTTGTAAATTCTTCAAACTCCATTTTATTGAAAATATCACTGTTCAGTGTTTTAACAAAAAATTCTATACTATTACATTTAAATTTCATAATGAAAACTATTAAAATGATGTGTGAAACCATGTTTGTTTTAGTAGCTAGCCATATTTTAAACATTTTTTATATGTTTTCAATGGAGTATAGTTCTTTATAAAGTGTTTACATAATTTTAAACGAGTACATGTTGCAATATTTCATAAGTAGTTATTGATTTTGGTTACATTAAAATTGGATATTGCAGTAAGAAGATTGACTGTGATTCTTTTTATAATCTAGATTGTTGGTTATTTTTGCGAATTAAAACACAAATTATTTATTACACCATATATTTCAAGCGCTGAGGCCACATCTCTCGTCTCTCTTCAAAACTGTTATTTTAGCTATCTAGAACTTCTACATAGCCAACAACCTAGATTATAAAATATTTTTACCATCAAATTAAATATATTAAAAGAATTTGTAATTATTTTTGTTTTTGTATAAATTAACTTAAAAATAATGGTTGCTATAATTTTTTTTATTGAACCAAAATAACTTTTGAACAAAATTATTGAATATTTATGATTAATTATTTGTACAGTATAATATGATTTATTATATTATGAATTTTTAAAAATATTTTCATGTAATAATTATTTTAGGAATTAAATTGCATACCTTGGAGACATAACTCTGGACACTGGCACACTTCATCTTTGAGCAAGCTCATTGAACAGGACGTGTTGATCGCTATGGTCGAGCACGGTATTTTGAAAGTACTAGTTTGTGTCAATGCATTTTCAAATGAAGTCCATTCACTCAAATCTACCTGGGTTTCTTCATCCTGTTTTTTCATTTTATGTGATAGCATATTTGAAATTATGCCGATAGCAGATTCAAGATATCCAAGATCAGGTTGATTTTGAGTTTTTGACTTTTTCTTGCAAATATTTTCAGAAGTTGTAGGGTTTTGCACTGAGTCACTTATTTTTGTGTTTATCACAGCATTTCTATTTGTGTTGTAATTGTGATTTAAATGTGTCTTATTTTCGTTTTCCACTTTGTCTTTGTGTTTATTCTTTTTTGAAGCATCTTTGCGTTTGGAAGCGGACTCGCTGTGGTTTATTGATACATTTGGTGGATTAGATTTTGTGATATCTTTTCTTTCTTCAAGTGGTGCATGCTGCAGTGATGATTCTTCTGATTTATTTTGTCTACACCCTTTACTAATTTCTCTGTTAAGTTCATTTTTCTCTATTTTGCTATTTTTGACTTTATTTTCTTTATAGTCAAGATTACTTTGTTCATGAACAGATTCTTCAGGATTTGTTTGTATTAATAATGCACTGTTAATAATTCTCATTTCATTTGTTGTACATCTGCCAGACTCGTTACTATTGAAACATTTGAATTGAGTAATGTAAGACTGTGTTGACTCAGCATGTTCAATGATTGGATTGGTACCTTCTCTTTCTTCTTTTTTAAGTTTTTCATTTTGTTTAATGGTTTCTAGAGTGTTTGTGATGTTTTCAATAATTTCTTCAACAATATCTTCGCCATTGGTTTTTATTGAAGGGAACATATTTCCATCCTGAGATAGATTATTTTTTTCTGTGTAATCTTTATATGTTTTTAACAAATCAATATTTCTGTCTGAAAAAAGAGACATCTCATTCAGTTGTTTCTGTTTGAAAAGTGTATGAACATTTTCAAAATTTTCTCCCCATGGATTCATTTGAGCCTTATTCATGGTTCTTGGTATATTTTGTATTGTGGAAGCATCTAATGGTTCTGAACTATTTGTCTTAGAAATATTCCCTTCAAGATTCATTTGCTTTCTATCAAGACATGTTTGGCTGAAACTTGCTTTTTCCAATGACTGAACAGATATTATTGGAGAGACACATTTAATGCCAATATTTCCTTGTTTACTTAGTATTTTTTTATTGCGTACGGCAAGTAAGGTGTTGTCTTGTATAGTAGTGCAAATAGGATTTTGTTCTTTGTCCATTTCAGCTTCTTCCAAAAATTCTATAGACTCGACAAATTCATCACCTTGCCTATTGCTTTTGATTGTATGCAGGAGAAAAGACTCGCCTGAATCAGTGGATATATGTTTAACAATTTTTTCTTTTTTCATATTTGTTGGACTATCTCTGTCAAAATGGAAGCCATGCTTGCTGTCTTTAATTTTTATACCCCTTTCTTTCATGTGCTTATTTTTCTTTAAAGTTGGAATACTCACACTTTTTTTATATTTATCTTTTTTCCGCATGTATGTGATATGAAGGATTAATGATTCTCCTGAATCAGTGGTAAGGTGTTGCAGGCCCAATTCCTTTTCTTTGGGATTTCCTACTTCTTTTTTCTTAAATTTTCTCTCCATGGTCGATGGCTTTTTGGTTTTACTTTTTCTTCCTCTGCTTAAAAATGATAATGCATGCAATTTATTAACACTTTTCTTCCAAATTTCATCTGAGTGTCGCACATCATTTACAATATGGTTGGAATTGGTATCAACAGTTTTACTGGTATTTGGTTTATCAGATTTAGATTGCATTTTAATGATATCATTTGTGTAAGAGTTTTGTGGGTTGTTTACAATATCATTGCAATTGGAATATATGGGCTTTTGGTATTGCCAAAATGGAGGGGTGAGTTGAAACTGATTTGTTGAACTTTTATCAGTATTGTATACGTTGGCACTTTTTTGATAAAAGTCTAATGATCTTGGTGTCATTGGTTTTGACCTCACCTCTCTTTCATTTATTATATCTTTTACAAATGTCTTTTTATATTGTTCCTGCATTTTAGGCTTTTCTTTTGCTTTGTGATATTGATCAATAAGCCAACACTTTTCATCATTGACCCAATGAAAGCTGTCAATGCTTTTTGTTTTGTTCATCAAATTTTCATCTATTGCAAACGAACAAACCTTATTTATGTCAGTCCTTTCGCCATCTCTTAAACTGTTTTTACTGTCATTTGAAGTAAGATCAAACACGGATTCTTTGACGAAAACCCTTTCTAAAGAGTTAACACAAGATGGACAAAACCACTTGACTTTATTGCTGATTGTAACATAACTTTGATACTCTTCAGAGCTCCATCTTATACAAGAAGTGTGGTACGTCTTCTTACACATTCCATCACATTTTAGACTTTTTCTGCGTTCTGAAACACTGTTTTGACAGAAAGGGCAAATAGGTAATCCAGTCATTTTTAATTTTTTTTAAATTGCTTTAAATCCATTTTTGAAAAACATCTGTGCATTTAGTCTTCAATGTTTTGTGTATTTTGTTAATAAACACAAGGAATTGGTAACAACATCGTGTGATTAAACGGACTTGTCTTGCTAAGTAAAAAAATTATCCTTTTGATTTAGAGCTCGTTTTTTTTTTGTTTTCATTTTTAGGTGCTGGAACTTCACTTTGTGGTTTCTCAGTCACCTCTCCTGTCAGAGGATCGGTCTTTTCTAACTCACTGTTTCTGCGGTTAAGCCTATCTTTTTCTACATCCAATCTTAGTTTTTCTTCAACAATCTTCTGCTTAAGTGTCCCAACTAAAGCTTTCCTCTTTTCTAATTCTAGGTCTAGGTTTTTCATGTCAAGTAGCACCTTTTCTTCAAGCCGTTGAAGATTGATTTTCTTTTTCTCATCAATCTGTTCCAAGTCTGGAAATAAAAATATAATTAGTGGTATAATTTTTATTTAGCCTGTTGCAAATTTGACGCCCTTTTTGAAATTAAAATAGAAAGTTGATAATTTTCAAAATTAAAATATAATGTTGCCAACACTACAATTTGTAACTTAAATGTTGACCAAATTTTTAAATTTTGTTTAATTATTGTGAGATCAAGTAAATTGAAAACAATTAATTAAGAAATAGGAGTGTAGTAAATGCCCATTGTTTCAGTACTAAAATTCGAAACAATAACATCCCTTTAAATTAGATAACAATTTTCTTAGATTTGTAAATATTGTTAAAAAATTGTTCTAAACCTGAAATTAGAAACAAATGTTCACTAAAACTTTAGTTTTACCTTTCTTGATAGAATATCCTTTTGGTTTTCTTAGTACGGCTTCTGGTGTTTGTACGAGAGGATGGTTAACTCCGAGAATGTTTGCAAGAAGTGACACAACGTCTACATCGTTCCTAGTTTGCATATTTGTCATAAGGCCTGGAAATATGGATTCCAATGGTTGTGGATTTCTATCCAAATCATCTGTGTTTATTGATTCCGATGACGTCGACAGGGTTTCTTCAACCAATTCTTGTGTCATTTCAGCAAAATGTTTGCAAAAGCAGGTGTAAACCCGTTGGTCTTCTAACCCTTGACAGTTGTCCAAGCTCATCCTGTCGATCTCTCTGATGGCCGTTTCTAAATTTAATTTTCTGCAGAAGTCTTGTGACCGCCTTGCACCTGCAGGAAGTATATTCATAGTTGGATAAACACTAGAAGAACTAGCACAGGAGTTGGAACGCAAAAAATGTTTTCTTTTTGTCAGAAATTCAATTTTTTTCTTCATCTTGTCGTCTGACGAATTTCTTATATTTTTATACCCTCTTGCACATTTGACCTTATTCTGGTCTCTCATATGGTAGATCCAGAAATTTTTCCTTTTTGATAGCTTCTCTTGGTCTGTCAAAGGGGTGCAACAATTCTTAGTTGCTGTTTGCTCTGTATGTTTCAAATTTGATTCTGAGGTTGTCTCACTGACCGTTTCATGGATGATGTTCATGGAGCTCCCATGGGGGCACATCTCTATTTTCAACTTCTTCCGACCGGTTGTGCTATCATTCATAACTTGTCCAGCCTTTTTGTTTTTATTTTTAATCGCTTTCGGAAAATCGTGGGTACGCCCTAAACCTCCACACGATTCGACATCAGGGAAATTGGCACAGAATTGTTTCAATTTACGGCCGGTTGATTTTTGATGTGCCGGATTTTCTACTATATTGGTTTTTGACAGTTTTTCTGATTTAATTTCGTACTCTCGCCCTTTCTTAATGGTTTTAGTACCCTTAACCATTTGAGTCGATCCGGAGAAAACCTTTCCATCTGAAAAATCATTGGATTTTCTATTGTATTTCAAATTTTTTTCTGGTAGATCATCTATAGAAACATATGGTGGACTGAGTAAAGTGATTGAGTTTGAGTCCGGGACACTTTCCGTTAACAGTAATGTACTAATGGGAAGTGATTGTCCAAAAGAATTGACTGAGATGCTTTCGAAACTCGAGTAAATACATCCGTCGGAAGAGTCATTTAAAACGTCTTTATCTGAAACATCTGAAACAGGATCCGTAGAAGTTCCTTTTGAGAACAATTTGATAATTCGTTTCGTTTTAGTATGGGATTCGTTTAGTTTACGCTTTTGGCGAGTTTCTCCAGCGACGTACTGTACTGATTCCGATTCTAGTTTCGCTCCCAGAGCTGACTTCGTGCGTACAAATTCCCTTTTTCTAACACGTTTCTTGCTTTCATCAATGAAAATCGACGCACGGCTAGATATGGACGACTTTGAAATGTTAGGAGTGTTGTTACCACAAGTACAACCGTATTCGGCTCTCTCCAGTAATTTGCTTAATCGTTTCTCTTCTCTAATTTTGTCTCGTTTTGTAACCGGATTAATAAAAGGGTCGCTTGAACAAAGTTCTATCTCGATCCCTTTGCTCTCTTTTGATTTTTTGTCAATATCTGCCTTTTTATTGCACAGACATTCCATATATTTACATGCACACAGTTCGTCAGAATGTGATTTTTTACTTTTTCTGTTGTTCATCTTCGGTGGTCTCTTGGGCAAAAGCTGATATTTTCTTGAGTTTGATTTTCTGTTTTTATTGAACATACCATCAAATGGATTCGGCTTTTCACCATAGCAGATTTTTATTCTTGGCGTTTCTTCATCGTTCGAAAGTTCGCTATTTTTTCTGGACCAACTGGCTTTTCTTTGCCCCTTTTCTTGGCTTACCCTGGGCTTAGTTGAACTTCTTCGAATAGGCTTATTCATTATTTCTTCTTCATCCGATGGCGCTTCCTCTTTCTCGTTATCCCGATGTCTCGTACGTTTAGATCGTGATCTGTAGTTGTATATACTATCGAAAGAAGAATTAGAGGGTGCAAGTGACTTTTTCCTGTTGACGCTTTTGTACCGACGCTGAAGAGACCGTTCACGAAGGTTACGGTTTAAATGCTTGCGTGCTTTTTTACTTTCTGGAGAGTGATGATCAAAATCAGATGTACTTTCACTAGATTTGGAAAATGTACTGTCTCTATCGAGAAGTAGTTGCAAACAGTGAGATGTAGTCACAATGCAGTCTGAATATTTAGTTTCTTTAGCGACGCTCTCTTCTATTTGCAACAGGGAATCATTGGAAACTTTTTTACGAGCTGTGGGTACAAATGCGTCCCAAAACGATTTGAACGTACTTCGGCGTACTTCTGGTTCAGGCGTTATTTCTTTTTCCGTGTTTGGCACTTCCTTGGTTTGCGATTGCGGTGTTTCTTCAGTCGGTTCGTCTTCTTCGATGTAAACAAGCAATTCTTGATTAACCCGTTCTTTTGGATTGAAAAAGACACCACAATTAGTGCATGGCTTTTTGTTATTGTGATGAACATGTTTTGGTTCACTTTTCAAAACACGTCTTGCTTCACCCTGAAGACAGTGGCCGCATACATCTGGAGAATTGGATATTGCCAAAGCGTATATCTCATCGTCGGGATTCCGGTCTTGTTGAGTTTTCTGATCGGGAAAATCTTTCTTGGTACGATGTGGGTCGTCAAAGGGACTATAACATTTATCGCCGTAGCAAGACGTAGGAGGATTTCGATAATGTGTCAGCGCTTGCAATACTAAGCATTGATTCTGGATTGTTTCATTCGTCACTGGTTCATTGGTCGTTGTCTTTTTGGACGTATCGCTCTGAGCAATGAGATCATGGTCTTTCAAGGGTTCGCTGTGAGATTCGACTATCGCGTAATTGGCTTCACGGTTGTATATGCCACCTCTTGGTCCACCTGCGTATCCAAAGTTTCGATTGTTTCCATAATTATTTACCTCCGTCAACTGGGCACCGCAATGTTTACAGAAAGGTCCCAAAGTGGAGGCGGCAGTAGAAGGCGAAGTGGCCATAGAAGCGACATTCTGTGTTGTGTCTCGAAAATTCGAAGGCAAGCCCTGTGGATATATTGGAGGTATTTCGAAACAACCCGCCCAGGGTATTCTTCTCAAGCCACTTATCCTTTTCAGGGTACATTCGACTTTTCTACCATGATAAAACTGTGCAATCTCCTTAGCGGGTCTTACATAGTCAGTCAATAACTTGTGTTCCAGCCATAGTTCAGTGAATTTGTCTTTTTTGTTTATAGATATCATTATGTAAAACTCACTTACAATTTAGACTACTCGAAAACGAAAGTAAGAAAACTAAAATCTTAAACATATGTACTATTCATATTATGAAATAAAATTAAAACCAAGTTTTATTTTCAGCTATCACTTATAAACATTAAGTGGAGTTATTGTCGGGTTTTTATTAAACAAAAACACGCAATTCAGAAGCTCATTTAAAAATATATCGCAAGTAGCATGGATGAAAGAATAACAATTCTCTATGTGACACATGTTAAAAAGAGATCGTGTATTTTATTTGTTAGACCATAACTAAGTTGCATTCTTTTATCGAAGTCAGTTTTTTTGGAAAGTATGGACTTTGGATTCCCCAAACCAGAAAAATATACAAAGTGAGTTTTCATATTAGTCATACAATGCCAATCAATCGCTTGAATATTTAAGAAAAAATATAGTAAAAGACTTGGTAGTGATTCAAACTTTAGGAATAAAAGTTTTTTTTCACAGAGCGCCCTTCCAACAAATTTACGATGCAGTATAATAAAATGTTGATAATAGATATATTTCAGATCTTGGCCAAAAGAAATCGCGATTACAAATTGGTTTTATCACCTAAAAAACTGTTTCCTAACAATTTTTGCAATGATCAGTTAAAGCAACTTGGTAAAATTTTGTTTGTTTAAAACTGTAAATGTTGATTATCATTCGTCACTGATCAAGTTTTCTGTCAAGTACCTTTGTTTGCAACAGCGCTTACATGTACATGCTTCAATGTTTTGTTGGTTAACCTATTCTTAGGTTTTCTGAAATAACAGAACTTTTTTATAAAAAGAAAAATATTTACTGTTCGCTAAACAAATGCAGAAAACAGATCCTATAAACTAACCTGATAACTATTATTTAAAAATTTTATTACAAATTCATCCTTACTGATTGTTTAAGAGTATTTTACCTTTCTATTGAAATAAGTTTGATAGTTTTGACCTTACAATAGCCATTAAAAAAAAAAAACTTTTTATGTGTTTTAACACTAAATATCGTACTCTTAACTCTTAGACGAATAATTGAAAAATTGGGTTTTCAAAGCATTCTGTACCAGGATGTTCTTGCTTATCAGAGTAGATACAAGAAAGTCATTCCACCTTTGTTCAACGAAAGACGCAAGACGAGCCACAAGAGTTTTAGGTGATTCTCACTTTGTTTCTATTGCTTTGGCCCTAATTCAAGGATGTTTTTCCCATTTTAAAGGAGTAGACTTGACCTTAGCGGGCTAGCCAAGGAGCTGTCGGCGGAAGCGAAGAACGCCGAGTTTACATCCTATGAATACCACAGTGTTTCATCGAGAGAGCAAGATGGCACGGCGGATTTCGTCCTCGACTGTTCCAGCTTCACCCATCCGTTTAAGCAGGAAATAACGGAAGACGACATCGAAGAACGAAACTTCGACGTGAGTACATGCATTGCAGTAACTTTTTCGAAAGAATAATAACACCTTTTCCTTAATAAACTTCAACTTCGCACAAACATCTAAGGCTGATTGTTGATGTGTTTAATTATAAATCATCTAAACTAAAAAAACACCCTAATTTTATTTTATTTTTTTTGAAAAAATATTAAATTTAATATTGAATAATTTTTTATAAGAACATCACACACTCTGATTTCATGGATTTATCGATTCGGTTGGTTTCTTTATTATTATAATATCTCCTCATAACTATTTCATGAGAAGTACCACGCGGGAAATTGATATCAACATCTTACCTGGCAATCATAATGATACTAATAAAATATGTCTCACTATATATAACAAACTGTAATATTTTATAAAACAGATAAAAATCTGACAACAAGACAGCTTTCAGCATAAGACTAATTTGGCAGTAAATGATCCCTAAAAAAATCCCTAACATAATCAAACGTAGAGAGTTTTAACATATATTTTTTCTTGTGTAAGCTCAGGGTGATTTTAACTTTAGAAACAGACAATAAGAAATTTTACATGTTTTTTCCTAGAAACTTTGAATGTTTTAAATTTATTGTAAGTTATATTACAATATATAACTCTCATTTTGTCAGCCTGAACGATATCGATCAATAAATTTTCTTAACAAAACACATTAAAGAAAATTTTCTTGGTTGCTGAGCAGATATGACATTGTTTGTTTAAATTTTAAGTTTCAACAGTGCTAAAGCGTTTCAAGCAACTTAGCAGCTTTATGAATGCTATGTTATAAGAGAGCAGAAATAATCCATTAATTAATTATACTACTATATCGACACTGTGCACGCAAGGCAAATGGCGCTGTAGATGATTGTCGGGAAGGGTTCTTGATGAAAGGTGTTGGACTCTAAGTGGTTGGAATGAGGTCCAGAGTTTTATGGACTGTTTTGGTTTCGAGGAAAAAATGGTACTGGAACGTCTGTGTGGATAAGTAGGGAGCTTAGGCAATGCTTCATATGACGTGTATTGAAGTGACGAGGTTGGAATTGAATTTGAATGATAAAAGAAACACTTCGTACTTATATTTTTTTGATTTACGGAACAACATTGAACTATGGGTAATAACACTTACTACTCTTACCTAACCCTAGCTAACCTAACCTAACCATTTCTAATCTAATTCAGCACAAACTAACCTAACCAATTCATGCCCACTCCCTTAAGGCGAAAATGGTCAAGGAAAAAATTTGTGTATCCAACCCAAAAATACATCCATGGTAATAAATTAAATCTATGAGGTTTCTAAATTCACCCAGTCTCCATTCGATAAACGGATTTTTTGCAATATATTAATCTCTGATATTGTTCAATCTATATATTTAAGTGTGTGGTGATTAGTGACCGTTAATCGATAATTATTTAGAAATCGTGAGATGCGGTCTGGTGTGAAGTCTTTTTTCTATACCGACTTCCTTCTTTCTCTAGGGCTATTAACTATAAAAACTGGTAGAATCCTATTGTACATTTTTGAAATATATTCTTTTAATTGATCCTTTAAACACATTTTCATGATACATTTGATAAAATAAGTAGCAATGTCTGATTTGTACTTGCCTATTTGTAAATCATTTATTTGCACATTGAACGATGACCAGGGAAATGAGGGAATGAATATTTCCGACAATGGTTGTTCAAAATGATATAACAACTTTACAAAGTTTCCAGTTTATGGTCAATATTCATTGAAGATTTCTTTACCAAGGCAAATGAAAGGATAATTTACAGTGATTTATACAGCAAAAAATGTGGATAAACCCCAGGATGGCTTATTTGTTATACTCCAGTGGTCAGACCCCTGGTCACATATGGAATTCATGTCTGTTGGCTAAAAATACTGCATAAGGAGACGCAAAACCAATTGTAAGTCTACACCGACTAGCGTGCTTTAATACAACATGGGGCAATGCATTCTTTTACCACAACCGTTCTCGATTACACATATACAAAATGTGGTTTTCGAAAGTGCTAACCGATTCCTAGATTAAAAAAATTAAAACCAAATCTGAGGAGAAGTCATCACAAAATTCTATAGAGAATTAAAATAAATGAGAAAACAAACAAGTGGCCATACATAAAAAAGATCTTTGAAAGAAAGATAGACAAGAAACGATTCAAAGTTTCAGAAAGAAGGTCCTTATATGGAATACCAGTCGATCAAAGATGGAGCCGGGAGTAGGTGTTGGGGTAAAACCTGTTGGACTGCTTCCAACTGTGTTCCAAAGCTGAGGTCCAGGCTCCAACTCTGGGCATATATATGGATAAAGAAGAAAATGAAAGGGGCACGGATGTACATAATTTTGGAAATAAGGCAGTTATAAATGCGAGTGCTTTGACCTTCAAATGAGATTAAATTGCCTAATGGCCACTAGGAAAAAACAAGGTTACGTTGAGGTGGGTTCCGGGACATATAGAAGGAAACGAACAAGCTGAACAACTAGCCAAAGAAGCGAAAGCACTCTCGGAACCACAACTAAGCGCACCGGAGAGTGCTCTAAAGTTGGAGCTGGAAAAATGGCTTGAGAAAGAAAACTCAAGCAAATAAAAGCACCAGTTATGAGGAGATACAGCAATCTTTAAAAAAGTAAGACGAAGGAACTTTTCTCTCTCTCTCAGCACACAAGATTTGAGGACAATTATAGGCCTCTGTACCGGACTACTACCAGACAAAACCACTATAGAAACATGCCGAATTTGTCCAGAGAAATCAGAAACATCGCACATATCCTTTGTGAATGTGAGGGACTAGCCAGTTTTCCTTGAAAAGTGTGCACGAACATGAACTTGGCTCATTCGTGATCAAGTAACGTCATAGTGCATCAGTAGACTGTAGCTTTTACATATCAAAATTGCATTCAGATTGCATTCACGTGATATGTACTTTCATAAAGGTTGTAATATTTCGTTGTTCTGTTGACGTAGGAGGCCGAGTACATTTAAATCAATACGTGTGTGTGTGTGTGTGTGTGCAGTGTTTAGTAATTTTAGGTTTAATCAAAGTATATAACATTAATATCTCACTAACACTCTCAACCCACACCGCTAATAGGACCTGAACCCTTCTGTGGAATAGGAACACACACTATCAACGAATACCTCAGACAGAAGGATAAAAAGAGAATGAGGGAATTTTGGAATTCACTTATTGGACACAGACAATCCAAGAATCTTCTAACCAACTTTGGCAAGAAAGAAATCACAGAATGTGTCAAAGGAAGCAGGAACAGACTGCGAATCCTAACAGGATTCCTGACAGGACACTGTAGATTAAATGGACATCTAAAGAAAATTGGAATAATCCAAGATGGCACATGCAGATTCTGCAAAGAAGCAGAAGAGACACCAACACACTTACTAACAAACTGCGGAGCTACACTAGCCCGCAGGAGGAAGTGTTTTGGGATGTACAATGTGACCATAGAAGAACTACAACCACTGAAACCGGGCCTATTAATCAAGTTTCTTGATGAAATAGGACTCACTGATGTGCTTTAGGCAGAGCACAGGGGATACAATAGCTCTTAAAGGGCGCAGTATACCATACCCTGAAATATTACATCTACATCTACATCTACAACACTCTCAACACCACACACAACAATGATACATCTACACATTAAACACGCACTTTGAGTGATTACAAATACTTTGATTAAACTTAAAATTTCTATCATTGTACAAAATTATTTTTTGACGTCCTACATGTATTTGTATTGTCACGAGGCGCTAGGGGTCGCATATGGACACGTTTAGGTGGGACAAATGCCCCCTTCAATCACAGAAGGTAGGTCAATTAAATTTCGGGCTAATAAGGACTCGTCTCCTGATCTCTGCAGCGGACTGATCCTAGCTTCTCTAACTGGTTAAACCGTAAGTGCTTTTTGCTCTGCTAATTTCGCTGTACGTGGGTTTTGGTAACTGCGAGCCATTTCCCGGACTTAAGGTAAGTTTAGGTAACCGAAGTCCGTCGCAGGATAGAGCAAAGCTGACACCTGGTAGAAGAGCGTGGTTCACGCCAAAGCTGACACCTAGTAGCTTGAACGTGGAAAGATCCCCTGCCACAGAAAAATGAAAAGCAAAAGTAAAACAAAACCTTCTTGACCAAAAATAAATTTATTACTTCATTCAATGGTAAAATGTATACAAACTAAAAATAAATAGGCCTCAAACTTTCTTGTGGCAATTAATAATTAATAATGGAGCGAACGGAGCAGCTTATTCGGTGGAGACAACAAGCACTTACGGTTTAACCAGTTAGAGAAGCTAGGATCAGTCCGCTGCAGAGATCAGGAGCCGAATCCTTATTAGCCCGAAATTTAATTGACCTACCTTCTGTGATGGAAGGGGGCATTTGTCCAACCTAAACGTGTCCATACGCGACCCCTAGCGCCTCGTGACAGTATAATGTAAACAATGTAAATCCCAGGCCCTGAAGATGATCTCAATAAAGATCGAAACGTAGCACGATAAAGAAAATGTTTTTCTAAACCTACATCACACAAGACCGCATCCCATTATCTTCAATACGTTGTTGTCGTCATGTATACAAGTTTATTTTGTTTAAGTAGAATAAGAATTTTGATATATTTTTAGTACAGAAGATATTGTTTTTTCTTTTAGTTAAAAATTTATTTGAATTTAAAAAAGGTTGAAAGGATCAATTTATTAAACAAAAATGTTAGAACATGCTGATATAATTCAATCCATGAGGCGCTTATGAGCATCTGCCAGTTGCCATTTGTGCTGGTAGATTTCTAAGGCCTCCCATTCTGCCTTTATCTCCGGTGGCTGGGCCGTGGGTTGGAATTGGTTCATTTCGTGGTAGGGGTCTTCTCCGAGGACCAGTCTGTAAATTGAGCTCAATCCGAAGACGTTGAGAAAGTACCAGGATGCCGAAGAAACCCATGCCGGGTCAAGAGACATCAACTCGATTCCACGTTGCAACATTGGTTTAAACCTGCAAGTGAAACAAATAGAGAAAAGAAAAACCGTTTCCTTTTGACATAAATTAGAATATTGTTTCGGTATTTTTGACCTGCAACAAGTCTCACCAAAATGTATGCGGGCAAATAAGTGTTATTTCCGTTTCAAAATACAGTTCCGTCGTTTAAGAAAAGATTCGGTTTGAGGATTATAAAATCAACCATCTGGCTAAACGTATGAAGCTATAACATAAGAAGTTAGGGAGCTTTCAGGGTTGTTGTTGAGAGTGATCTGGTGAATATGAAGGTTGTAATATTCATTACGGACCTGATGGACTCACGCCCTTTAGAGGGATAATGTGGTGAAATTTTATTTTTAGATGATTGTTGATTAAATGTTGAACCGAGAGATAAGGACGTTTAAATATCGGGCTGTCTTATTTATTAAAAACAACAAATTAATCCGAAGAAAATTGTGTTTTTATTGTTCCCTAGGAGAGATTTGAAGGACGTCCTTTAGTGCTATGGATTTGATTAACATAGCGTTTTAAAAGTTGTTTTGTACAGTTCTAGTATTTTTGTGTGTTAAGAAATATTTAACTCTTTGTTAAAGGTTTGGTGACTCGGTTTTCGAAAAAGCTGTTGAAAAATTTCAACTTACATAGTTGTAGAACAAGTATGGTGGATTTAGTGAGATCAGCCTTTGGCGTGATAAGTTGAATTTGGCGCCAAAATGTTTTTAATCTAGGGAAAAAGGCTATTTTTGTTGAATGGTTATTCGAAACTCATCTACTTGTGATTTTGGTAGGGATTTTGTGCATTTAATTTAAACCTGCTTCGGTAGCTATTTATTGTTATTTAGTTTATTGTCCATTTTATTGCAAATGAATGGAATACATGATTGAGTTTGTATCAATTGGATTCTGTTATTTTACACAGCAAATGCAGGGAGGATGTAAGTACAATTACTGAATAAGTCAAGAATCAGGTTTCAGTGGAATATGAGATATAGCTAAAGTACGGAATGTTTTTGTTTTTTAAGAATAAAACCAACAAAAATAACCAGCTTCGACAAATCGCAAAAGCTCGTTTGCTCGTTATCGTAATTCGAACAAACAACAAACATACATTCCCACATTTATCCCTATTCAGTATATATTTTCAGTTCACTTGTTTAAGTGCTGTAGTCTTATGAATATAATAACAGAGCAAGTTGTTGATGAAGGTTATTTACCTAAGTGTAAGCGGAAAAGGAACCCTGGTAGCGATGAACCCCGAAAACATAAAATTGATCCATCCGCCAATGATCAGCATAGGTAGGGCGTTGGTCAAGTTGACTTTCAGCATGTCCGAAACGGCTCCTGGATCGGTCATCATCGGGTTTTGCACCCTGGGCTTCTCGCTTAGCACTTTGAAACAACCGTTGTTCTGGTTGTTGAAGTAGTGCCTCCTCATCTCGAATGCCTCTTTCGTGAGGTAGAGCCCGTTCGATGCCAGGATCCGGCCTCTGCTGATCATATGCGACTGGGAAACATCCTTGACGTCGCATTTCTTCTCGAGGGCCGTTATTTGAGACATGTAGTGACGGACGATACCGACGAAAAACGTGATCAGCACGATCGGGAGGAACACCCAACTCCGGATCTCGGGGTCGACCAGTAATTCAGTCATCTCAGTCAGTTTCCTAAATCTAAAAGTATTACTGAATATCCTGTGAGCTAACTCGTTTCTATAACCATTCGCCGACAAAAAAAGGTTACAGAACGTAAGAACGAACAGCTGATTAATATACCAGTTTTTGTGGACTTGCGTTTCTGTTGAATATTATTATACATATGAAGAGGGTCCAGTTGAAAAATGATGAGATTCCATTTTTTAAACATTTGAGAAACACTAAATTTAAAGTTTCATGACTACTGGTGAAATAGTTTTTTTTAAATGTTTGATTAAACAATTGTAATAACATTTAGAGTTCTTTCTAAGTAATTCTCATGATACAAAAACCATTAAACCCCATTTCGAACCCAGGAACGAATAAGAAAATACCATGATTACGAAATTTTATTATTAATTTCAACGATGAACAGACAAGTGAAACGAAAATTCTGAAATGATATCTATGGTCAAAATTTTACATTAATTATTGTAAAAAGAAACCTGAAAAAAGTTAAAAAGCTCTAAGCTAAAAGGGTTTACGTTACTCATCTTTTACCTCATAATCAAAACAAACATCATCCTGGCAGTTCTAACTGTTACCAAATTATTGTAAAACCTCCTGGCAACTTCGTTGGTGAGAAACTTTGTCAGGTGTTGCAAGTCATTTTTCCAAATTAACAGGAAGGGGCCCATCGTAGGAGTTACGAAGCTGCTGTTTTGGTGCGGGGTTCTTCCCCTTTTTTTTGCCTTTGTGGTACCCACAACACGTTGTGGTTATTATAAGCTACACAGAATGAAGTCCGGTGGTGTATATACTGTGGTGTGTAAGAGATATTTTCAAACATCGAATCGTTCTTGTGGGGATGGGACATTTCTTTTTGTTCATCGGTACTAAGTAATTCGTCCACGATTTGAAAAATTCCCTCTTACAACCGATAATAGTGAACGGTTGGGGTTTGCATCTGCTCGAACCAATCACATCCCTCCATCCTTGAGGCATATCTACATAGGCTTTTTGATTACTCATGCTCATATCTCTATCGCACTCCAGATAGCTATGGTCACGGATGGGAAAGAAAACTTTTACACAATATATTCTCCCTTTTTCTGTTGCGAGATTGTGAAGGAATCGCAGAACTGTATAGTTTTTATTTTGCCTTGCACATGAGTCACAAAAAATTATAGGCGTTCTGACTGCTTGTGGAAGAATTTTTAAATGTCGCAGAGATGGATCCTCATCGTTCTTCCTTAGGCACACAGGAGTCCCATTGTTCTTCCACTGTGCCCCCCATTTTCAAACGCGAGTTCTAATGGAATCTAATTGGTTTCCCTAGCAACATTTGGCGGGTTAATAGTTAATGTCACGAGCCAACAGATGCCGGTGAAATCTCGATTCTGACAAAAATGGACTCTCATCGTTTTTCCCCTGTGCCCTTCATATATGTATTTCAAAATACTTTTTATATTACAAATCCAACTCTAAAGTAATTAAAATCAGAAAAGGCAAGACATTTTTAATAATGCAAAAATTAAATTCATATTTCTTGAACCGGTATTATAATTTTTTAATGCTATTCATTGTTAATCTTGTTTACTATGCACTTTTGCAAGTATCTTCTTTAAAACAAAAGCATTCCCACTAATGTCCTTTTGATAGATTAATTTTCATATTTGAACATATATTTTTTCATTAAATATAAATGTTTGGTAAATAGCTTAGTCAGGTGACTGCGAACGTGTAGTTCAAGTGCTTAGATGTGGATATGACTAAAAACTTTAAAAGATAGTTCTTACCCACAGTTTATTGTTTTCAATGATCCATATTTCAAGCACTAAACGCCCAGATAAATAAATTTCCATTTACAACAATCATGACATCATTAACAAATTATAATTATAAATAAAAATTCATGTCGGGAGACGTCTTTGTAACTCTTTCAACCCGATGAAGAGCATTTAAAGCATAAAATCAGGTCGTATAAAACAGCAAACTGTGAATAAGAACTATTTTTTAGATAGTTCCACAACATATTCACCATCATTTCTATGACTAATCTAATGTTTGACGACTTATAAACAAATATTGTTTATAATCTGAGGAGCAAGGAAGTTAGAATATTCTTTTTAGGGATTTATGAGATCTGAAGTTTGCGACATTTTTTTATACAGGGTGATTCACGAAAATGCCAAGTTCATTGGTGTTTTTACACACCAAATGCAACAAAAGTGTTTTCCTTGACCAATGCCCTCTTCTCTTTAATCCAACAACAAATTTGAGCACGTCGCTAGAAAACTGATTAAATTTAGAAAACTAAGAAATTAAAGCAATTAACTTAAAAGAAACGTACCGGGTTTTTGTTCTATTTAATTTATAGTAGAAATAAAGCAAATACATATTTAGATATTTTAAAATGGCAAACAAGAAAACATTCATTTTCATTACGCGAATGTTCGTGTAGATAAACGTATAGAGAAGAACAATCGGGAGAAAGGGGATGGAACATTTGGACAAACTAGAAATCTACAGGCATTCATTAAAAAAATATTGTTGCCATAGCTCTAATCTTTTCTAAAATACTAAATGGTTATTTATCTAGGCTTTCGACTCTCTTGATCATAAGTTGATGCTAAAAAAATTGAGTGTATTGGTATCTCTAATATTCCCCTTAAACTCCTTAAATCATATTTATCGGACAGAACTATAGTCACAGAAGTTGGAACAGATTTTAGTTCTTCTTTCCACAAGGCACAGTCTTAGACCCAATTTCGTTTCTTTTATGCTATTGATTTTTTGAAAATTAAATTCTCTGGAAAAATATTTAGCTGTGCAGATGACACTTGTATCATTTTCTATAAACAATGATATGAAAATGATTAATTTTTGGTAAAACTCAAACTTTCTACTTTTAAAGACAAAAATGAAATGTATTACATTTTCATTAAAAAAGAAAATAAATACTAATTAATTTAAAATTTGCTTTTCATACTTGTGATGATAATGATGTGTTTCTTGCTTGTCTATCTCATTTGCTTACACGTTAGATATCTTGGTGCGACATTGACTCAAATTGGAGATTTTATTTATATATTGATTCTTTGGTTTTCCGTCTGAGAAAGCTCTTTTATAAATTTAGAATTTTACGCAACTTTTGGAAAATTGAACTCTTAAGGGCAAGATATTGTTCTTTTGCACAATCCATAATAGCCTATTTCTGGATGTAACTATGAACTCACTTCTAAAAAATTATTTTACGCGTAGATATAATACGAAAAAATTATACAGTGAATTTAAAGTTACGAATCTATATCAAATCTTTCTTAAATTTTCATGTTTGTANAGATATATATATATATATATAATGTATATATATAAGTACATTCTTGGAAATAAAGATTTATTATTATTATCTATTCCTTTGTGCCCTGATAGCCAAGATATTGCCAGGTTGTCATGTTTTTCCCCGTTTTAAAGATTTGGGATGCATTGACCGACTATTTTGGATATGATATTTTTACGTGCTAATACTTTTAGGGCTTCTTGGCTGTTTGATATTATGAGTATTATTTTGACAGGGTAACCTCTATTTATAACCTGTCAGTGTAACCGTAAGATTTTAAAGGCTGAGATGTACTTTCCTTATGTGTTTGTATGATAAGTAGTTTTATAAATTTGGGGCAATATTATATCTGTGTTTATAAATTTTTACTCCCTGTTATATTCTAAATTTGCTAGTATTAAAATAACCTTTTTTTTTTAACACAATTCGATAAATATATTTTGTTTGTCTCGACATAATTTATTTACGAACCCATTACTGTAGTCAAATAAGAAATCTTTTTAAAATTGCATATCACAAACATTTTAATTTTCCTCGTCTTTATTGATACAAGTTTTTTTTCAAATGGCAGGAGGTCAGAACTGTGGAGTTTTTCGATGAAGGCGAAGACGATGGGTCACAGTGCAAACAAGAATATTTAGACCCACCTGTCGAAGATGCTGTTGAAACTGTCCATTCTTACAGCGACTATCAACTGACAAACCAGTGCACTTCCGAAGATTACAGAAACGGGATTGTTTACAACGAATCTCTTGAAGACAGCATTGTAAGTTTTTACATTCAATATAAATTTAATGTTCAACCAGACGTTTTCTGCTATGTTCACAATTCAATGAATCACTTGTTATAAATCTTGACCAGTAAATTATTAAGTTCGATGACACAAAAGTTTTATAGAAATAATAAATGGAGTGAGTATGTTATTCGATCTTTCTAAAAGATAATTCCAACTCACAGTTAGTCTTTTACAATTTAAAGTTTTATGGTTGTCAAAATAGTCCACGAACAAACTTTTTAAATAAGTTTTAATTTATTTACCAATACCCAGGGTACCACCAGGTTGGGTGCCATGGATTTGGACAAAACTTTTTTTGGCGATTCTACACTCCAAAATATCGGACTCTCCGCCAGTTCTTGGGATAGGTCCTGGTTTCGCCAAATTTTAAAAAAATTGAAATTTTCCATTTTTTAAATATTTTTATTTTGCCATTCTACCTGCTTAAAACAATTAAGTAATTAGTAGTAGTAGTAGTATCATTTTACAGCATTTTTTTTATGTAGATTGCAATAAAAATGTAGTAAAACCTATCAAAGTTTATCAATAACAAAATAAATTCTAAAAACAAAATATTTTTCAAGTAAACTACAACATAAATTTTTTTTCGTGAAACGTAATATGAAATTTCGTTGTAGCACCTGTAGAGATCCTTATATAATATAATTTTTTATCAATATGTATTTATAATTTAAATAAATGTAAATTTTTGTTTGAATTTAAATTTATCGATTTTTAACCTCTACATTTTTATTTTATTTTTGAGAAGACGTTCTCGTTATGATTGAAACGGCCATAATTAAACTATAATTCAAAAACTGCTAAGGAAGGATTTAACGTCATAGACCATTTGAAAGAAGAAAAACTTTACTTTTTAACGACTCTGAACTATAAAAAAATATACAATATTTCTATAAGAAAATACACAAAATAGGAAAATTATTTGTCAAAAATGAATAATAGTTCGATTTTAATGATTTTTAATGCACTTTACTATTCCTTTAAAATGAATTATCAACTATGAAAATTGGTCTGCTAGGTTTTGACAGAAATGATGTTACAGCTGGCGCTAGAAATATCAGACACGCAGACAAATCGTCGAAATTATCAGTCGAAAAATTAATATACACCGATTTCCGCGAAATTCGCTATCCAAGTGTTTTACAACCTTAGCGTTACGACCTTACAATGAGGTCAAATCCAAGTTTTGATTACGTTTTAAACTCTTTGTTTACATTTCTGATTTTGTCTAGGATATTAATTTGTAAAAAGTACTATTTATTTATTAAGAAACATTATATTTAGTTTTTTACGTGTGGATAAGAGAAAGTAATTTTAAATATTGACTAAGAATCTTGCCCTAAGGAAAATGAAATAAAAAGACCGAAAGCTTGGCATAGTTTAAACGCACAGCATTCATTGGACCACATCCTCGATCCCACCAAATATGTTGGGAATAGTAGCTGGTGTATCACCTTTACATCATAATAGATTTGGGCAAATAGAACGGTGAAATAAAAATATTAAAAAACCAGGGCTTATTCACAAGAAGTTGCGCATACGTGTCCGATATTTTGGAGTGTAGTATCACCAAAAAAAATGACCCAAATCCGTGACGCACCAACTTGGTCGTCCCATTGAATCATTAAAGAACGAGTCAAGCGTTAAGATGAACGTTTCAATTAGATCAGATCATATATTTTATGATTATAAAATTATATCTGTACCTACATAAAAAATGTAATAATAATTGAATAATCTTCGTGCCTAAATATTGGGAGCAGTTCGATCAAAACTCTCTGGTTCGCCTATTTCGGAGGTTCAAACGCGGCAAATTTGATTACCCACTACAAGAGGGCCAGGTTGATCGAACTCCTGTAAACAAGAAAATCTTTTGCTCTAAATTGATTTAAGAATGATATTTTTTGCCTAGAGTAATAATGACGAGACCTTGGAGTCAAAAAGGGAAGAAGACTTGTTAAGGCAGATATGCATTGAAGAAGAGAATAAAAACGCTTTCTTGGAAGGATTTTCAAGCAATTTGTGCAAGAAGGATCCCTTTTCTGCCCAAGGCGACAGCTCATATGGCATGCTCGACCATAACCAGTCAGTGGATATAATAAATGCGGCTAAAAATTTGTATTCTAAACGAACAAGAACCCTAATGCACTGGATCAACCCGAAAATCCCAAAGGCGCGTCTGAAAATGAGCATGATGAACGCGTGGGATCAACTTCCTGAATGGCAAAAACGAATCTATATATCTCAGGTTTGTAAAAAAAGCATAATTTTAATATGTTATATTTCATAATACTTAATATGTTAATTTTATGTAAGGTGCTGGGAAAATTCTCGACGAACACTGTTATGCCCATTGTAAACCCTGAATTGCTGTCAATCCACAAGATTTCCAATAACCTCGACAATCCCAATGAAGAACCGTTTGGGGTGAGAGCAATGAGGGCGATTTCGAAGAGAAGAAAACCGCAAGAATTCGAAGAGTTTGTACCAAAAAGGAACAAATTAACAGAAGTGAAAGTGACACCGCAAGAAACAATACAGGAAACTCCTGCTGACGTCATTATTGAAACGGAAAAAGAGGCGGAAATACCAGTGATCGAGGAGGAAAAACAATCCAGTGTCGTCATAAAGGTAAATTATTCATGTTTCGATTGAACAAAAATGTAATGTTTTTGAATTTACGTAGATAGAGGTCGAAGATCCGGTTGGTGACAATTCGTTTTCCTCCTCTTCCGAACCCAGGCAAGGGATTAGCTACTGGGGCAACCAGACCTCCGAAGAGTACCACAGCGATCTGTTCAGAGACGTAAGGCTCAACTGAGCTTCGTCTGGCCAATTAAGACAATTTACTTGAATTGGCACGTAATTAGTACGTGTACTTCTAGACCCATTAATTTTCTCACCAAAGAGTGCAACATCGTTGACATATTTTTGGGTTGGAACTAATAATATACCTGTTATACACTTTTTACGTTTATTTCTTTTTCTTAACAGAAGATCCACGAGTATTTCTTAGACAATAGACAATATCAATACCAAAAAATGAAAGCTTAAATTATATTTTTACTTCAGCTAATAGAGACTGTTTATTGTACTTAACAAAAGCCTTTCAATGTGATTATTCCAGTGGAATTAAACGTTTTAAAAATCTATAAACAATAAATAACTAAGGCTCATATCATATCGGATTAATAAATTTTTCAACCTATCATTTCCATTCCAACACATTTGCTAAACTACTCTACGGAATACCGTTTTTTTAAACTTATTCTATTTATTGGATTAAAAAATAAAAGGAAAAGCACAGTGTATATAGTATATATTTTTAAAATAGACAGGGAAAATAAGGGGGTGAACGAAGAAGATAAAGCATAAAATAATATTATAAAAGAGAAGATGTGACGAATCCGATTGTTTCGCCCCACTGTAGCCCATTCGCTTTTTAAGCCCCGAAGTATATTGTTCTCACACAAATAAACAAAGCACTCGACAAAACAAGCTATTATTAACAATATTCGAATCAAACCAATGTTTATTTTTGTTTTTGAAAGGTGGCGTGTTATTGTTTGTCGAACCCCGATCCTCTTGCAACAAAAGCCTTTTCAAAAGAAAGATGGTTGGGTAAAAAAAAGTTTATTTACACAAAGGTATTAATTTTTGGTACATAGTTTTTCTTTTAAAGTTAATTTCGTAAAATTGTCTGAAAGGGGGGAAAACAATTTTATAATAATATATTAACACATGACCTATATACAGTTTCAACATCCAATTACATATAAGATCGTTTATCGGCTAAGTTTAATTAAAATGTATGAGGAATGTTTCAATATACAACGTCATAATATTGAAAACCGCTTCGACGTTATCAAAATCACATATTGAGGTTTTTGGGTCAGAACAATGTTAATTATAGTAACTAATCTTCTAAAGATAGAAACCTGCATTTAACAATTATATAATCTTAACTTTTTTTTATACACGGTTTTTAAGTCCTCGATTTTTCAAAATACTTTTCTTCTGGCCGATTCTCCAACTTTTGAATTTAACGGTAAAAAAACACTAATACCTCTCCCAACCAAAGAAATCTGCGTTAAAAATAAACATTCAACTAATTAATAGGGGCCGTCGGTGGCCGCGTTGACACCGCGCTCATCACTGTAAGGTAAAGGTCCCGGGTTCAAATCCAACGCTCCTGCATTCGAACCCGACATACTTGCAAATGGGCTTTTTTTTTCCAAAAACACCGGCACCCTGAGGGTTTATATGACCTCTGCTGGTGCAAACCCTCGTAAAAAAACATAAAAAAAATTACTAATTATTATTTAAAAAAATTCGAAATTATCATAGCAGATATCAATGTACAACAAACAGAATAAAACGTAGTAATATTTTACACTCAACCAACTAGAAACACTAATTAAAACTTTCGTTAATGAATAAATATTGATAATTTAATTGTTGTCAGTGTGTTAATGGAATTAACTTTGTTTTCTATTGGAGTTTATTATGTTTCTTTACCTAAACATAATAGTTAAACCGACTAATAACTACTCATAAGTTATATGAAATAAATTTTCTCGACCATCAAGATTCGTTATTTGTTTAACACTTCTGCTAAAATGTCCGAAAAATTCATTATTGTATTTTCTGCGGTAAAGCCGTAGTATTTTGTACTGATACAACACAAACGTGCTAACACTATTAGAAGAAATAGGTTTTCGCAAAATCAAAGTAAAAAAAAACTTTTTAACAAAAAGTAAGTGACAACAGTTTCTCTTTTTAAGTATAAAGCTAAACCCAGGAAATTTCCCACTTGCCATACAATGAATAAGGAAAAATGTAATAAATTTTAGCAGCTTAACTGTTAAAATGTTGAAATTGTGCTTGGAAATCGGCTTTATACCGATACATTTTTGGACCATCAAAACATAGAATTGAACTGTAATTAATTATCCAATATTGCTTATTCGACCAGAGTAAATTGTTCAAAAGTATATTTCAACCAATCATACATTTTTATAAAGCGTACAATGAAAAAGTAAGAGGACTTAAAAATAAAGAGATCACATAGTCGCGGAAATCGCTTGTTGAAAACGATTCAACTGGTTGGAGATTCGACGTCGAACTTCTCCTCACTCCAATTCCAGAGTGCTTCATTCATAATTCTGAGGAAAACTTTTCAAAAACGGTGACATTCGAGTCGAGCCACCTCATCTCAAGAAATCGAGGAAATTGCGTTGAACCGCCTGTTCTCGTGTCAACTCGTGTTCAACTGTCCCATGTACTGGGCCAGTTCGGAGCCGTTGTACTCTTCCTCTTCGATGTCCTGAAGGCTGCTGTTGCTGATAGTGGCCGGTCTCGCCAGCTGCAACCGGTTTGGCTCTGGTACGTGGCCATCCATGGAAATATGATGCATGCGGGATAGGACGGAGTAGGTCCTCGTCGGCACGCTCACCTTGTCCTTTCTGCAGCAAAGCTGCTGCTGAGTGTTCTGTAACATGGACATTTACGATCATTTTCTTTTTTTGGTGGTATCGTCTGATAATCGACATACCTTAAAAGCGTCTCGGAACTTATTCGACATTATGTTGTATAGCAAAGGATTCACAGTAGTCGATAAGTAGTAAAGAATGCCTGATATGTAAGTAAGAACTTTGTAAGTAGTCAGAAGTACAGTGCTATAATTTGAGGAAGCGCTGTTGTAGGCGTAGACGGCGAGAAGTCTCTGGGCGTGAAAAGGGGCCCAGCATATAAAAAATGCCACAACGACTGCAACTAAATAACATAAAAATAGTTTTTATGACCGAGCACAAAGAAAATTAACTTTTAGTCCGTTGAATGTTGTTTTGCACTACTTTTGTAATTGTAATAATTTTTGCGTAGAAACTATTATATTTAAAATCATTTCTACTTCCACATTTTGGATTTGTTTTTCTTCAAACAAACTTTTCTTTTTAATGCTGTCTTTTGTCAACGGGTCTGCACTACGGCTATTTTTGTAGGTTTACGATTCATATTCAAGACTCTTGGCAAGATTCTTTCAGGATCAGAATTAGGGACAGGAGGTTTTGTAAAGACATAAAATGATTTCCTTGGGAAAAAGAGAGACTGAGATAGAGGAGAAAAGCATTTTCTACCTCTCTAAATTCAGTTGCTTAATGATTCTTGCCCGGAAAACAAATGATAGGTTGTTTTGCCTTTGGATAAAAAATGGATTATACTCAGCCCCTATGAATCAGATTTATACTTTAGCTCACATTAGGAGCGTTTTCCTAAGCATGAAAGGTATTAATTACTGCAGTATGTCTGCAGATGACCAAATATGTTAAGACAATTATTCAGAAATGGTGAGATGCGATCTGGTGTGATGTAGGTTTCAGAAAAACATTTTCTTTATCGTGCCAACGTTTCGATCTTTATTGAGATCATCTTCAGGGCCCTGAATCACACCAGACCGCATCTCACGATTTCTGAATAATTATCGATTAACGGTCACTAATCACCATATATGTTAAGACAGTTTTAACGAAAATGGCATGTGTTTTTTAAGAAATTGTTTAAAAAGTGATTTATTATGGTTGATTTCTTGATGGTAATGTCATACATGCAGAATCTAATTTTGATCTGATCTTTCGACAAAAAAATATCCAGTTTTACAGCAAACATTCTTCAGAATGTCAACACAAATATACACGTTCTAATCTAATTTTCTCTCTGGTCCATTCTGACCATTTTCCTTCAAGTTTGGGATCATTTTCTACGACGGGACGAGTTCATAAATTTGACTTAAATGTTTGCATATAATTTACAACGTTTGCCCTTGAGGATTGCCGCCTACCGCTCCATACCTACGATAATGAGATACAGAGATTGACTTTTATTCAACCAGATTAGATATCAGTTGACGATCCCATGCTTGAAAATTAGGGTTATAGAGATTCTCTGTAGGTTATTTAAAAAAATACGAACACGATTAAACTTTTTATTATTATTCCAATTAATTTTTTTTTGGTTGAGATGAAAAATTAGTGTCACGATCTCAACCAAAAACTTAGATAAAAAGAAGAATTAATTGGAATATGGTCAATTATGATCACTAAGCAAATTTGGATTATTATTATATTGCTTTGCGTTAAGCATACAGCAATAGTTCTCTCACATAGAAAGAGTGCAACGTTTTTTTATTAGGAAGATCTCACTGCCTAATTCTACTCCAAACTATATGCTTTATATGGAGACGGAAGTAGACAAAATTTTCGTTTTTACGCTTTCCCTGCATTTTTCATTTGTTTTAAGGGTACTTAAGGGCCCTGTTGCCCGAATCTCCAAAATTACTGCTCTCGAGGTTATAAAATCTAATTGTTCTTGGTTTCAGCAATGGAATACTTTAGCTTCTCAATATGGTTGCGATTTTTCTTTTTGTTTAGAAAACCTCTCGAGTTGGCCCAATTATACCATGAAACTTTTGTGCAGACTACGTGATCAACATCGTGTGAGTTGTGAGCATCGAGCTCAGGTCTCCAACAGGTATCTTCTCTTTAAGGCCCTAGACCACTCTAAGGAAACCTTTAACCTAAATGTTCAAGCTAGTGGGTCTATAAAACTTCCGACTCTTCGATGGCTTCTTAAACTCAGATGCGAGCAAGTGTTCCTCAATTCTGTGCCATGGAAGGAAGACGACGGAAATTTCTTGTGCACGCTCTGTAACCTAAGAGTTAGGGAAGATATCTTTCATTTTGTTGCCCAGTGTCCCATACTGTCTGAACTCCGTATCCTGTATCTAGGCTATAAATCGCTTTCCAGGTCTCAGCTGCTTGATCTGTTAAATATCGTGGATATGGAGAGGTCGAAATGTCTAGCACACTATGCACGTCATGCCTGGCAATATAGGTACGATTATAATACCGAGTCATAATTGTTTAACTTGTATCTAAAATCAGCTAGTTTTTATAATTTAGTTTTTACTTATAGTTTTCTAATATTACCATTATTATATAGTTTATTTTATTTTTTATTTTTTATTTTTCGCTCGCCTGAAAACAAAAAAAACAAACAGCCAACTTCCGGCAGACGGATAAGCATCCATGCTGTAAAACGCTTTTAATATTGTATATTATGTAACGCTTCTCTTTAATGTAAATAAAGCATGTTATCTATCTTATCTATCGATCTATCTATCTAGTTCTCTCACATATACTTAAGTGCATTTATTATGCAATTACCATATTTTTTTTTTGATATTTAAGTACAGTTGTAAATAAATAAATGAATTAAAAAAATCGGAATATAACCAAGACTACATTCTTATGCAATGTCAACAACCTGAAACAGTTCGACGTCGGTCGGCTTTTCAACTTTGACGTTTATGTTTATAAGAAAGTTTTAATTGGCGTTCAAACGGATAAATCGTGCAGGGGTTAGTGGGAAAAGCCAATTTTCAAAGCGTGCGAGTTACTTTTTATCCGAGACAAAAGGGATGAATATTGGCTTTGCAAAATAGCCGATTTCTCTTATTTGTTTACGTCTAGTACTGAAGAGGAACGGAACCTCGGGAAGGCCGTGTCAACTTCCAACTTTGCAATATAGCCGGCCGGGACGGTTTACATCGAAAGCTGCAGGCAAATATTTGCAGATCAGCCGGTCTGGCTCTACGCGATAACTTCACCGTTTCAAATAATGGTGAATCTGATTCTCGCTTTGACTGCGCGTTCCTTCATTTTGCGATCTGGGTTTAAATTAATTTACGCTTGCCCTTTGATATGCCAAGGGCCTTGCTCTTAAAATCAAGCACCCCCTCATAAATAAATTTCAAGCCTTTTCCTTTGAGATTGTGAGCGTTTACAATACAAAAAGGACCTCATTTAATTAACATATAAATATTTTATTAGACCAAATGAGTACGGCACAAAGGTGCCTGAGCGGTTGCCATGCGGCAAAAAATGATACAAAGAATATATTTAGGAAACCGTTGGACTACCATGATCGAAAGGTTAAAGGACATAAATCAACAGTTACACCACGAGATAAAAAAAAAAAAAAATCAGAAAGAATATTCGTAGTTAACTCACCATCTTACGTTTTCCGAACGACCGCGGAGATGGCCGCTATGGTTCAATGTCGACCAACTAACCTGCTACAAGATACTACAAGAAATTAATTTGTGACCTACTGAGGTCTTATTTATTGGTGCGAAATAGTGATTTTCTAGACAAGCTGATCCCAGAAAAGCTGAACAAGATTTATAACTGGATCGAAGGATTGTGCAGTTACGTGTCTGTGGACAGGTAGCCTGATAGTCACAGATCCTGCCCGAAATAGAAAATTTCTTTATTTTACTAAATGTTTGTTGTGTGTTGTGTGAGTGAAACACCGAGATATGTATTGACATACCATGGTGGCTTACCAATTGAACTGTGCACGGCTCGTAGGAATTTGTCTTGTGTGAATGTATTTATTACCGTGAATGATTGTTAGGCCTTGCGTGTCGAACATTTTGTAAGTTTACAAAGGTGTATATTTGTTTGTGTTTTAAGAAAGTTTCATTACCAATTTTCTTAATTTTTTTATTTACCAAGTAATCGTATGACGTGGTTCTGGCCTCTCAGCGGTTCCAGAGCCGGCCTTTTGATAGCCTTCGACTTGCGAAGTTTGAGCCCGATGAGTACGTAAAGGCAGGTGATGACCGTCATCGGGAATATGAAGAACACACATGTGGAGATCCTGAAGGCGTGTTCGACCCAAGCTTTCTTCCCTTTCATCGTGCATTCGGCATAGCTAGAGATAGCAGTGCCGTTCCTGTCGGTGTTCACATTGTTAACTACTCCAAATTGAATCGCCTGAAAAAAAATCAAACCATTTTCGCCATAAGTAAAAGTAAACAAGAAAAATAATCTACTAAAACTTTTCCATCCGAAAAGGTAACAATTTTCCAACGAGAGGTAGATTGAAAATAAAGCAAGAATCACAGTCTTAAGATTTTTGAAAAGGATGTATCCATTCTACCTTCGCTCAGCAAAATTAAACTTAACTCAAGTTCATTTATCTACATTGTACAAATCTACTTAGGTCCGAAGTTCTTCTGTACATCTTTGGTGAAACTACTAAATTGTTGAAGTCTAACTTAGAAGTTCTTTCAGTAGGTTACAAATTACATGTTCCACGGACCTAGGTTTTTAGAAACAAAAACAAAACTGGAAAACCCCTTTCAAAATCTCGTCTCGCATTCTCAACTTCTGTCGAGAAAACTTTTGAAAACTTCATTTCAGTTGATTATTACCATGATTTTATTGTATGAATAAATCATTTTGATTACACATATAAGCTTTTTTTCTGTAACCTGTTAAAATTACACGAATTTCTTTTATCCAATGAGGCACACACAACAAAGAGTTAACAATTTGAGATACGAAAATTGTTTAAATGAAAAAAAAAGAAAATTCTCTTTCTGAAAGCTTTACTTAAGAAACTAGTCGTTATGAAATAAATGAATTTCAGAATGGCAATCCCACGGAACGCGTAAAATTTCAGCACGTTCGAAATAAGAAAGGGTAATTTTTTTCGATACGTCCTCGTTTTTCAACTGGTAGCAGGCTGAGCTCCGCTGCAAATTGATAATGAAAACACTTCACGTCATATTCACGACTCAACCGGTGGCTCCGGTTTTGAACATGAGTTTCACATAATGAACAAATATGACCAACCAGATGAATTATGAAAGCAAATTGTGAAAAATGACAGATACCGAAATATATTTTTACTCTAAAGCTGACATAGCCATAGAATAAAAATAAATTGCTGGAGGAAAGGAGTTCTCATCGGACGATTTATGACGATTTATTGACAATAGGATATCAAGTCGTGGATAAAACAACAAAAATTTCTACTACTGTGTGTACTGTACTGAACTAAACTATTTCTGATTTCCTTATCCATGGTAGACGAAGGGTGAAAGTGATTGATAGAGAATGAAACGAAGAAAAATGAAAAATACCCTTGTTTATTAACATTTCAATTTTGTACATTAGGCTACTCCTTGAAAAAACCCACCACATTTTCCATTGCTGATTTGCTTTAATGGTGCAGGCTTATAAAACAAACATTGAAGGGTGATTGGCTGTCCTGTTTGTCGAAAATTGTACTCTTGACGGCAATTTTTATCAAATACACGCAAAAAGTGCCCACCCAAACCCGGCACGTAAAGAAGCTACGATCGTGATGATTGTTGTTTTACACAAAAGTGTAAAAATATGCTGACTACTGCTTTATCATTTATCCAATTATGTAGAATCTTGGTCAACCAATAATAAACACTTTCTTGTAGCTGATCAGATATCAGTTGGTGGAGGGCAGAGTGTGATGCATACTATAAAACAAAAATTTCAGTAATTAACGCTGACATGACATCAAAAGATAACTTGTAAACTTCTCGAACTAAGTTCTACTTGAGGAGTTATCTGACGTGCTCTCCTAATTCGAATGCCAGCGAATATTGAATCTTATGGTATTCCTTGTGCAAATTTCAATTATGGTGAACATGCAGGTTTCCAAACAAACATTGAAAGATGGTTGGCCGTTCGGTGTGTTGAAAATTGATGCAGTAACCAGCTTTCTAAATAAATGTGTAGAAATTAGTGACCGTTAATCGATAATTATTCAGATATCGTGAGATGCGGTCGGGAGTGATGTAGGTTTCAGAAAAACATTTTCTTTATCGTGCCAACGTTTCGATCTTTTATTGAGATCATCTTCAGGGTTCAAAGTGTTTGTCTTCTGTGTAATTGTGCCATCCTTGTGTGTCGTGTTGAGAGTCTCAGAAGACAAACACTTTGAGCCCTGAAGATGATCTCAAAAAAGATCGAAACGTTGGCACGATAAAGAAAATGTTTTTCTGAAACCTACATCACTCCCGACCGCATCTCACGATATCTGAATAATTTTCTAAATAAACTGCAAATGGTGAGTGCCAAAGTGTACACAGATTATTAGAACGCACCTTGCAGAGTTCTTTATTTAGAAATCGTGAGATTCTTTAATTTTGGAAAAAAGTGTTTGAATTGTTTTATAATTTTTGAAAGCTATTTTGAAGTTATCGGACGAGAGAAATGTGTTTTAAACAATGTATACAAATATTTTTCATATAGTCTAATGAGTTCGTCATATTTTTGCTTAAATGAAACTTTGCACAACGAATATTAATAAGGCTCTCTGAGGTTCATCCTAAAGCTGATTCGCTAGCCTTCGAACTAGGAGGGCACGCCACAAATGAACTCTACAAGTGTGTGGTGATTAGTGACCGTTAATCGATATTTATTCAGAAATCGTGAGATGCGGTCTGGTGTGATGTAGGTGTCAGAAAAACATTTTTTTTATCGTGTCAACGTTTCGATCTTTATTGAGATCATCTTCAGGGCCTGGGATTTAAAAACATTGTTTACATTTAACAAATACATTTAGAATTTGGAAAAGTGAATTTATACAATGCAAAATATATTTTTTATATTCAATCAAAGTATTTCTACTCACTCAAAGTGTTTGTCTTCTGTGTAATTGTGCCATTTTTGCGTGTCGTGTTATGAGTGCCAGTGAGATTTTGCTGTTTTATTTTTATATATGTTGGATTTTGAAGGGTGGGGAAGGAAGTCGGCATAGAAAAGACATTTTTGTATAAGGCGTCGGCTTCTTTGAGGTGAAAAGAGCCGACGAAGGCACGATAAAGAAAACGTTTTTCTGAAACCTACATCACACCAGACCGCATCTCACGATTTCTGAATAATTATCGATTAACGGTCACTGATCACCACACATACTTCATTTTAATTCATTAAATTCACTATTTTTCGTGCTCCGCTTGACCAATTTTTTATCTCAACTTAAAACCTTAAATAATTGAATGATATTAATTGGTCAAGCGGACCACGAGAAATAGTGTACTTTGGTGATAACGTTTACCTTGTTTCTATTCAATTCTACAGTCTTTCTGTACATGAGGAAATCGATCCCAAAAATTATCACTCCGTTGACTGCCCAGAGAAAGGACGAAGATATTGAATGAGAAGGTCAATCTGGTAAATCTAAATTTATTTGAGTTTGCAAGGAATATTCAAGAAATAGAATAATACGTAAAGTTGGATTAATGAAGGGTAAATTGGAATTTACCAATATTACAATCTTAATAAGCGTTTAAACCTATCGTCGGAAAAAAGGTATATTTACACAGATCAACGGACAACCGCGTTGATTAATATGAATCAAATCGGTAGTGTGAACATACCTGCGGAATAGCCAGGATGAGAGCGAATATCCATATCAATATGACAAACTTGACCGCCCTGGAAAGTTTGGAGACGGAGTGTGACAAGAATGGATGGCAAATCGCTATGTAGCGCTCGATGGTAAATGCTGTTATTGTCAGAACCGTAGCGTTGGCGCACGTCTCTGCCATGAACCCTGTCAAAACGCAAAAAGCCTCACCGAAGACATACGATCTGAAAAGGAAAAACAAAGTTGTTACACAATTTAAATACAATGATTTTTGTTAATAGTATTGAGTTGGTACAAAATTAATACAGGTTTCGAAAATTTGTTTTATTTTCGCGCGTGCTTGTAATGTAAATAAAGCTAAATCTTCAGATCTAATTTATGGATTTAATAAATAATTTTAACTGTTACCTTTTTTACAAAACATTTTAGTTTATATGGAATTTTATAAGTGTGAGGGCCTGCAAAATTAAATATGTCCAAACTAGATTTTCTTCACATTTCTTTACGAATTTAAACTTGGGCGGAGTGGGAGCCTATTTAGAGTATTTTATTTATTATTTTTTTAAGAGGGTTCGCAACATCAGAGGTCATATAAACCCTCAGGTGCCGGTGTTTTTGAAAAAAAAAAAAAAACATTTGTAAGTATGTCGGGTTCGAATGCAGGGCCGCTGGATTCGAACCCGGGACCTTTACCTTACAGTGATGAGCGCTGTGTCAAAGACTAAACCTTGCGGCCACCGACGCCCCCCGAAACACGTGTATTATCAATACAGTTTGGGGGGGAAGCATCAGCGAATGCACAGTGCAGAGATGGTTTCAGAGATTTCGATCTCGAAGACAGGGTTATGAGCGTCGACCAATTCAAAACTTAATTGAAGAAAATTCACGTAACATAACCTGGGAATTGCGGAAGAGCTTAGTGTTGACCACTCAACCGTTGTTCGCCATCTGAACCAAATTGGTAAAGATGCTCGACAAGTGGGTACCGCACGAACTAACCGAAGCCCAAAGATACGGACGCTTTGAAATTTGCACGTCTCTTCTGTTGCCCCACCAAAATGATCCATTTCTCGATGATTCATCACGTGAGATGATAAATGGATTCTGTACGATAACAGGAGGCGTTTAGGTAAGTGGTTGGACAAGGATGAAGCGCCATAATACGTCCCGAAACCAAATCTGTACCCAAAAAAGGTGTACAAATGGTGACTTTTGGTGGTGTACTGCTGTTCACTTTAATTTCCTGAATGTTGATGAAACTATCACAACAGGGAAATATTGCCAAGAAATTGACAAAATGCACGGGAAACTGAAACGTCTTTGTCCAGCATTGGTAAACCGTAAGGGGCCGATTTTTCTTCGCGATAACGTCAGGCCACGTGTCGCAATGCCAACCGTGCGGAAACTGAAGAACATAGGATATGAAACCTTACTACACCTTCCTTATTCACCCGACCTTCGCCTACAGACTTCTCATTCTTCAGGCTTCTTCCTTGATCACTTCTTGAAGGATACAGTTTTTAGAAAATGCAGTGAAGACAAAAACGCTTTCCAAGACTTTATTGTGAATCGAAATAAAGATTTTTATGTCAATGAAATAAGTAAGACTATTACACGGTGGCAAAGATGTATAGATTGTGATGGAAAATATTTCTAATAAATTTTCTTTATTTTATAAAAATTAAAAGTAGTTTTGACTGCCTTTTCAAAACCATATAGTTTCCGAATATCTTGTTTTGAAACCACTTGACTGAACTAAATTTAGTTAACAGTTTTCAAGGTGTAGAAAAAGTTTTAATTTCTAGGAAGATTCTAGGAAGAGAGGGCAGAAATGTAACTTTAATCAATTCAAAAGACTGTTTAAAACGTAAAAAATAAGTTAAGAATCTTTATAAGTAAGGGGAGTTCACAAAATCTACGCCATTTTGGGTTCAATAGTCAAGAAAGCATACAATCACTCACTTAAATATTATTTTGTGTATACCCTTAAATATTAAAATTAAAAAATAATTATTATAAAAATTATAAAAAATATTATTAATTTGTATACACCCTTAAATATTAATTTGTAATAATAATTTCTTCCATCACATCAACGAATATCTAAATTTTTGAACATTTTCAACATTACTCTTGTGAATTGTTCTTAAATTTCATATCAAAGTAAAGTCCATATTTTATTTGTGGAATAATATATTCCTAAAACGTGTTACTTTTTGAATTTGATTTGTACAGTGATTTACAGGGCCTTCAATAATTAGGATTGACAAGACAATTGTGTCCATCTGAATTTGAAGGTCTTGTTTGTTGTGAATTTTCGCCAATAGTGAGACGGTCTTTACGTAAGTTGCCGTGATCAATGTACTCGAATACCGGATCATTTTCAGTAGCGCTAGGGCGGTATAAAATTTCTCTATCCGCTGAATCTAAAATTGAATTTACAAGATTTTCCTTTCTCAGTTCTGGAAATTCTTAGTAAAAATCGTCAAGAAGTTTGTCTATTTCTTCGTTATCACCCCTGGGGGCAGGGTGATTTTGATTTTTTAGTCATATCAATTTTAATTGTAGATAAAGCAGCGGCAATTTGGTTCTGTTTAATTTCATAATCTTCTAAGTTACTACAAACGGTTATTTTGTTACTAAATTGATATCCATTTCCAGTGGATTTAAAAATATTCTAAACTAAAGTGTAGAAACATTCTACACTTTTTCTAAAGCTTCATTATTATTATTTTTTTTTATTAAGCATTGAGGAACTCTACTATCGATAAGTTATCTTCTATAACGTCTCCTTTTGTTTGTGTTTTTAATTTTTATTTGTATGACTTTTTCACTTCGTGCCACTAAAACATAACTAATCAACTGAGTGCCAATCCTCCCTGTTGGAATTTCCTCATAACTTGAACATGTATCAATACAAAATGGAACACAATTTTCCTTTGTAAAATAGTTTAATATGAATAAAGCCTAATTGAATATTTAACCTCATAATATTGTATAATCCTAAAATTAAATTTAATATATTGTGAAAATTAAACAAAATCTTTTTAAAAATAATTTTTATTTCAAATCCACACAATTATTTGGCAAAAAAAGCTTTCCTGGTCGCGGTTAGGATTACTCTACATTTTCTTGAGCAGTGAGCAAAAAGCGAACTTGAGAGGATGAATGCATGAACAATTATAAATTATGTAAAATAATAAACATTACAATTAATTAAGGTTTTTAGTTGAGATAAAAAAGTCAATGGCACGAGCGGGATTCGAACACACGCTCTTCGGCTTGATCGCCACCGCTCTACCACTTGAGTTATCATGACCTCGATCCACTCGGACACCAACTTCCCATCTCAACCGCACCTTTTTAATTTGAGATTCGCAACAGCAGAGGCCATATAGACCTTCAGGTGCAGATGTTTTGAAAAAAAAGCCAATTTGTAAGTATGTCGGTTCGAATGCAGGGCCGCTGGATTCGAACCCGGGACCTTCACCTTACAGCGATGAGCGCCGTGTCGACGCCTAAACCGTTACAGCCACCGACGCCCCCTCTGATTTTGGCGTATTATGAAGTGAAGTTTTGTAACTTCATTGTACATAATGCATAGGTCATACAAGAATAACGCATGGGCACCTTCTGGCTGGAAAGCGACGCGTAAGGATAGAATAACGGTCCAGCACCTCTTCAATTGTAGAAGGCTTGATGTAATTAGACAATATTTTGGCATATCATCGGATCTGTGCGCAGTCTTGGGGCACGGCAGCGGGCACAGATCGCTGTTCAAGTACCTCAGGGCAATAGGAATTTTTAAATGTATATAGTTTTGTTATGTGTGTTTGTGTTGTGTCTGTGTCTGACTTTATGTTAATTTATTGGAATGAATGTAATTTATTAGCATGAAAGGAAGGAGTGATTTAACCCCGCCCCGAGGAATGTCGAGTAATCTGCGGTGAGTGTGTGACGTCTGGAGAGTAAAAATAATTTATTAGCGTGAAAGGAAGAGGTTGCATATAACCCCGCCCCAAGGAATATCGAGTACTCTGGGGTGAGTTTATGACGTCAGGAGAGTAAAAATAATTTATTAGCGTGAAAGAAAGGGGTTGCTTATAACCCCGCCCCGAGGAATATCGAGTATTCTGGGGTGTGAATGTGACCAGACATCTATGTTTGTGGTGATGTATATATATGTATTGTATGTTTTGTTTCTATTCTGTATTTGACAACCTAGGTTCAAACGAGAGACTAGCAGTCTAGGATATCAACATAGTATATATTTGAAATCAGAAAGTCAGTAACCGGATCGAGACGCTCAAATGCTGCTGTTTAAAACATGCGCGAAAGAAGAGAAAAAGAAGGAAAACACGCAGAGGGCCGTCGATGACCACAGCTGTTTGTCAGCCCATAAACTTTCCTCTTTATTTATAGTTAATTGTTTATTTTATCTTTAATTAATTTAATTTAAAATTTGTATTTAAAGTAAGGTTCACCGTGCAGAATCGTTAGGTTCTCGTTGATGCAAATACAAATTTAAAGAAAAAATCCGTAATTTTATATTTAGGAAGGTTTTTGTTGATATGTAAAATTTCAGACAATTACTTTATTTATTCTGTTAAGTTAAGGTTTCACCTTGGGCCGAATTATTAATGAGGAGTAAATATTTTTGTGTACCTTGAAGTAAAAAGATATTCTGAGGGTAAAAAAAAAAGACTAATTACATTAAAGTGTCTGTACAAAGATAAACTCACCACCGTATGCAATTAAAGGCTTTCATTAATTAGTGGTTTAAGGTGGACAAAATATCAATCCTATAAGAAATGGCAAAAAGGAAAATGAAAAATGGCAAAAAGGAGGGAAAATTCAAAAGGTGGGGTTGAGATGGGAAGTTAGTGTCCGAGTGGGTCGAGGTCACGATAGCTCAAGTGGTAGAGCATCGGCGTATCTAGCCGAAGATCGTGGGTTCGAATCCCGCTCGTGCCATTGACTTTTTTATCTCAACTAGAAACCTTAATTAATCGTAATATATTAATTGGTCAAGCGGACCACGAAATTAGTGAACTTATAAGAAATATTGAATATAGCTATCAAACAAATGTCTAAAACGAGCAGGCATGGTTTGACCTTTTGAAAAATATTTGTATTGTTTTTGCTAGTTTTTAAAGCAGGTTTGAAATTATGTGCATTACGTTTTTTGATAACCGTATAGCAAGATATTGGAAATTGTAATGCA